AGCCAGAGGCGGAAGCGCGAGGGTTGGCTGGGTTGGCTGGAGGTCGTCATCAGACTGCCCTGTTTTTACTTGTTGGGTATGGAGAAAAAAAGCAGAGTCGGCCTTTTGGCTAAGATCAAGTGTAGTATCTGTTCTAATCAGTGTGAAAACTGATTTCCACACTTCGGTGTGGTTTTTTTTCACATTCATTTTTACAAATTCCGATAGTCCAGTTGGCTTGCCACTGACTATTGGACTGGTTTCCGAGGGCCCAGCACTCCTCCCTTGTGAAGCCTAACTTCTACACTTGAACTTCCAGACTCCATTTTCCTCTTTCTCTACATGGTTTCCCATGGTCCACACCACTCCAGCGCGGAGCGCTGCCGACGAGCGAAGCGAGTCGCAATCAACTTTGCCCGTAGGGCCCGAGGCGCAGCCGAGGTTTAGTTTATACTGGCATACTAATCTTCGTAAACGAATGTCCGCCGGGAGCGAATCGAGTCAAGGCGCACGCTGCGCGCCTATCGATCTTGCGCGGAGCGCTGCACGGCGAAGCCGTGCACCAAAATGGCCATGCGCTGTGTTATAGCTTTGTCAGCCGGCGTCGAAACATAACATGACACTACTACACTACTAGTAATACGGCACCAACCCAGCTCTGCACATAAGGGGTCGTACCGGTACTCATGGCCAACGGTTTCACCTTCGTAGGCTCCACAATGACATACGTTTTGTTGTGCCTTGGTAGTACCTGGTATCTTACGTTGTTGCCCTAGCTGTTGACGGTTTTGATCCACGCCAGCATTTAGCGCATGCGCGAGAGCATTGTGAAATTATGGTACGAGGCTTTTCTATAATAGCGAGGTACTAACGTCTGGCAATGTAATCAGCCCGACCAAGCTTATCTCTGTCGAGCGTGCAACGCCTCGTGTCGATCTGGACCCTTGGAAACAAGGGAATGAATAATATTTATCCTTTGGACATGGCTTAGCCTTTGGTCCACACACAACACTTATAAATGTAAAAAATGGCTTTTACACATGCCGATTACTCTTATTTCAATACATGCTACAATTGTATACTCGATCAACATTTCACCTATTGTGAAGTAAGTGTAAAATATGCATATTATGTGTAAAATATGCATATTATAAGCGTGATGATTGGTTCATACACACGATTTGGACTCTTGTTGCAAGATTCTACACTCAATCAACTTCTACTTTTTATCGGATGATTGTTGAAGTGTTGTGATGGTGATGTTCATTGCAGCACCGCAGCACCGTGCCTTACAGGCACTGGTTGGATCGGTACTTCTACTTTTTATGAAATGAGTGTAAAATAGGCAACTACGAAGAGTGGGAATTGTTTTTTACATGATTTTCACTCTTTTTCAATCGATTCTATACGGCCACAAGATCACGTACGTATGTCGGTTTGTTTACGTGGCTGGACCACAACGACGTCGGCGTGCTTGCTTTGACGCTACGTCTCTGCACCGGCCACGTCCCCTAGATCGTGCACGCGGAACGGTCGAGTCTGCTCTTTGTTCAAGCAGTCGCCTGTGCAGAGAAGTACTAGTACGCTACAGAAAGAACCTCAACCTTGGAGCTACTCTTTTGCGCTGCTACGATTTATTGTGAGATTAACGTAGACCACCGGTCGTCGTCCATCTCGCTAGCACGCCACTCGTCGTTGCAAATGAAGACGATATATATCGCGCGGTCATATTCATAACAGCACTCGTTTCAGGATGCGCACGACGGCGGTTTGCAAGATATTGATCTGCCACGTGTCTCCAATCCGCTCGCAGCACCATCAATTTGCATCCAATCAAATCGCTTTCATGTTCGAACAAGTCAAAATCGCCGGGCATGCGCAAGCGACCTTGCGGTGCGCCGATGGCAGTCCTGCACGCTGGCTTTCTCAACTATATCGTGCAGTGCTTGGCCTCGACCAAGGACGTTCTCTCGCTGCTGCAGGCGCTGCCATGTGATGCTCTCGACGAGGCGCTGACTGCGCTACGCACACTCGTGTCGACGCCGAGGGCCTTGCACGCGGGGCACTGGCCGCAGGTCTGCATCGAAGACATCGATGGCTGCTACACGGCAACTGTGCTCGCCGCGCTGTCGGTCTTTGGCTCGGTTCGAATGCATCATCTCTCTCGGCTCGACGAGGTGCTGCGCGCCACGAGCTCGGAACCCGGCGCGGATGGGAGCGCAACCATCGCGTTTGCCGCCAAGTGGGGCCACAAGATCAAGAGCATCCGACTGACTGCGTGGCGAGAGCACAACATCAATGTCCTCGTTCCAATCCTTTGTCTCTGCACCGGTCTCGATTACATTATTGTGCACGCAGCCGAAGCAGATCCGCGCATCCTCGAAGCCGTCGCCTGTACCACACCGTTCGTCACGCGCATGTATCTGACCTGTTTCGGCGGCAAAGTTGTCGCATGCGAAAGCTGGTTGGCATCCATGACGACGTGGCTAGCCTCGGGTCGCGCGAGGGAGCTCGCACTCGTGGGCTTTGAATCGGCCGACAGCAAAATCTTGGCGCGGGCAATTGTCGGCGCTGCATCGCTCACGAGCCTCACGCTTCGCGATGCCGATAGCCTTGTCCAGGGCCTAGTGGACACAGCGACACCACTGCCCCACCTGACGGTGCTGTGTCTTGACATGCAGCGTGACACGACCAGCTTGAAGTCGCTGCTAACGAATTGCATCGAGCTCTCGGCGCTCCGTGTGCTTGACGTGCGTGACTCGAGTACCATGGACAATACGTTCTTGCTGGCGCTACTGCCACGTCTTGTGGCGCTTGAAGAGCTTTCACTGTGGCACTGCCGCATGGAATGCGTCCATTCCTTGACGTTGGCGCCGGCGCCGCGTCGGCTCCAAGCGCTGACAGTGTACAGGAGCTTCATGGACGACACCTCGTGCTTGAGTCTTCTCGATTGGGCCTCGCAGTCGCCGTGCCTCAAGACCATCTCGCTCGACGCGGTCGCAACCGTGAGGTCGCAACCCGTGCACTTGGGTCGCTACGTGCGTCGATGGATCGCCGCCGGCGTTGAGCGCGTCACGATCCCAAACACCTCCTTGGGCGTCGAGAGTGTGATTGCGATCGCCATGGCGCTCTGTGACACGTATCGGTCTTCGCGGTTTGTGCTCTATATTGGCGACGGCAGCATCATTATGGCTTCCTACGCCGCGCTTGCAACGTGCTCTAACGTCACGCTCGAGGTGTTTGAGCCAGAGAGCTGCAAAATGACCCATTGACCCAAGACCCGGTACCCGGCCCGGCCCAACCCGGTTATATGGGCCGGGTTGGGTGGGCAAAAAATATTTGGGGATGGGTTGGGTTGGGTTGGGTCGGTAGGCCAAAATCATGGGTTGGGCCGGGTTGGCGCTTTGGTCGGCAGTCCAACCCATGGTCAGTCGATCACACAAACCGATTACGTAATGACGTGTTCAGCACTGCACTGGACGATGTGTCTCGTCCATAGCGCTGCGACAGTTTACGCGACCAACTCCGAATTCACAAAATGTCGGCTAGTACAGTGCAGATAGTGCAGATGCCTCCGACGTCCTGTCGCTCCAGAACGCGGTCATGCCTGCCATGCCGCGGCGCAGCTAATCCGTGTAAATGAACTCTTGTCAGTTTTGTTTTTCCCCGACAACACTTACAAGTCTTCTCGCAGCCCGTCCTCATGTCCACCTGCCTCAACTCGCTTTGTCCCCCGAGCCAAGCTCTGCTGCTGCCGCAGTGCCTCCCTCAGCACGCACGCCCACGACGCTCGCACTTTCAACGAGATCCAGCACCATCGGACGGCGCGCTTTCCTTGGGCGACCCACAGTACACGCTCCAGAAGTCGTCCAAGGCCACGTCCGATTGCTGGAGCCGCTTCGGTGTTGTGTCTATTGACGGTGCTAAGGCTACGGAGAATACAGCCTCTGGCAACTACTACTTTGCAGCACGTACTTACAAGTCTTCACCATGCTGCCTGCCTTTGATACAAGCTCGCTAAAGCGCCACAAGTGCCCAACACCAACGACCCAGACCAGCATCTTGGACTCCATTGGGACTCGGCCCTTCGCATGCATTGCCTTCCCGATGCAATAGATTGCCGCTGCCTTACGCAATGCAGTTGGCGATATCCTCGAGAAGAATGTCGTTTTGGACGATCTTCATCTCGCGGCCGCCTTTCTCGACCCACGATAGCTCGGTTCGCTCAGGATGAAGAACTGCATTACGAAGGACAAGGAAGCTCAGGCAATCGAGCGGATCAAGCGTATTTCGATGGAGAAGCCCGAATGCGTCTCGCCAGCTCCAACAAACGCCGACGCTCCGACCCCAGGGCAGCGCGGCCCGGACGAGCCGTCGACGACGAAGCTGTGCAAAGCACAGAAGGACCGCCGTGCAAAGCACAAGCTCTTTACGGTTGACTGGTGTGACGACGAGGCGCCGGAAGATACCAGCAAAAGTGCGTGGAAATCGAAGTCGAGCGCTACTTGACGTTGAAGGTCAGGGTGGAAGAACGGAGTTCCTACTCCGTGCTCGAGTGGTGGAAAAAACAGACAAGCATGCCAGTTTGTCGTGCGAAGTCTCTTCGCCGTGAATGCCAAGTCCGAGAGCAATTTTCCGGACGCTGGCAGCACGATCACGAAGCTGCGCAATTGCTTGAAACCTAACGTCGCTGGCAAGATTTCGTTCAAACGATCCTTCAGCAAAAACAAAAAGAAGTTGTTGTAAAAAAAGAGCGCCGAACAAATATTTTGGACTTGAACTCCCGCTATTGCACACTGAGTTTTCGTACACATCGACACTTCCTGCTGCGCCATTGCGTTTCTCACGGCTACATGCATACAATTTAAATACAACCATATACATGGAACCCACTGACCCGCAGCTTACCCATGGACCCATGGGTCAATGGGTCCGGGTCGGGTTGGGCTGGGTTGGCCTTTTCAAGGAATGGGTTGGGTCCGGGTGGGCAAAACGACCTCATGGGCTGGGCTGGGTGGGTCCAAAAAAATGAGAGACCAATGGGCTGGGTTGGGTGGGTTCAAAATCGCGTGCAGATCTCTGGTTTGAGCGCCGCCCGCTCATGCGCCAAGAGATTGCACGGCGTGCGTTGACGCTGCGTCTACACTGTATCGATGACGGCAGCATGCCATTGGCCATCCATAGCCTCTAATGTATCGAGTATATCGTCCCAAAAATGGGTTGATTGGAAGATCTGTAGCTCGGTCTTTGGTAAAGAGTATCAAGTCTTGTACGTGCTGCTTGCCTCGACGAGGCTCGGCATTTTCTGGGGATGTCGGTGGGAAGACACCGTGGTCATCGCCAATACGCCGCGATTGCACCATGATCGTGAAGTCCAGCGCTTCCTATGAGGAAATAAGACTATAGAGAGCCAACAATATGCAGAATGAACTTCATTTGAAGCAGAAATAGAGTACACTGTATCTTGGTCAATGGATCGCCGCAGGGGTCGAGCGCGTCACGCTCCATGACTGCCGCTTGGACGAAATGCGCGTCATTGCCATTGCGTCGGCGCTTCGCCTCGCACGCCGGTCGTCCTCGGCCTTGTTTGTGCTCGAGGTGTCGGACAATCGGCTGCGTCTTCGTCCTACAAAGTGTTGTTGGATGCACTCGCCAAATGCACTGGCGTCCGCCTCGAGGGAAGCTATTCCGAACGCTTACGATGCAGCGATTTCGCCCACATTGAGGCGTGGGTGACCGAGCTCTGTGGCACGAGACCGAGACCCAGAGTCGATATAAGTTTTCCATTTCGAGTCCCACGTAGCCGTCGATGCTTGTGTTAGGATTTGTATCCTGGCACGCCACTGCCAAGTCTGGATAGTCACCAAATTCACCTTTAGGCGCTTCTATTACAGTAAAAGTTTCACCACTTTACATTTGCTCCTTGCTACACAAGTCTCTGCTTCGTGCGCCTGCATCGGACTCGAGCGGTTTCGACAGCTTGAGCATTTGCTCGGGACGTACGAATCTGACGACGGGATCGTTCAAGGACAACGACGGCGTATGAGTGTTACGTGACGCTGCCGTGGCATAGCACTTGACTCGAACCAGGATTCGAATAGAGCGTGACGCAACCATCGAGGCGTTTGGATCGAATTGGTTACGGTACTCAGCGGTGTACTCGACCTCGGTACCGACAAAGGACACAGAAGCAGACGTGAAAATATTTCCAGGCGCAGTCACAAAGTTCAATGTTTGCCGTCCAGAGAGACGAAGCTGGTAGACGAGTACTGTCACCGTTGGCGATGTCGTCATGTTGCCTTCTCAACTCGAACTCGCCAAAATATGGCCAGCGGGCCATCGAGTCGTCTACTTCACAAGGTGACCGGAACGTTTGAGTGGGTGCTACGGTCGAGTCGTGTACTGCTCAAAGAGCGCCTACCTTAATAGTTGCCTGGTGCAACCCCTACCATCGGTAGGTGTGGACAGTCTCAAGTGTTTGATGACACTGCGGGCTTGTCGATTGGGACTTCGCAGTTGATCGCTGCACTGGACAACACGTGGCCCACCAAACTCTGGACCGTTGCCGACCATCTCGATTCGCCGCACGTCTCTGCTTTGGCCCTCCAACGCCTTTCAAGATATGGGTGAGGATGCGTCGCGATCACAGCGCTTCACTCGGTTCGTATCAAGAGCAGGCCAAGGTCATCCCATCGATATCCGTGACACACCGGCCGAAACAAGATCCATCGATTTCCATCCTGCGTCTTCTAAAGCTCCAACCTGTGCTTGCCAGCAGCAACGGTGCGACGTCGCCGGCACATCCACAGTAGCTCTCCATCACGCGCATATATATATGAACGTGTTTCGCGTTATCTTCCTTACAAAGAGTTCGCATACGTAGAGACTAGCATCACGCGCATACATGTACAACTGTATCCTGGTCGCTCGGCACATGGATGGCCGTACACATGTCAAAACCACATCTGCAACACAGAAGTCGCATATCGTATGTCAGCCAAAACGACGTGCGGCTGAATTGCTGTTTGCGTCGGTGGCGTTCCATTTGCCTTCGCCACTTGTAGACGTGCCACGTGCCACCAATCAGCGTGCAGCAGAGGTTTCATCGAGCTACGCCTGCCCAGATTTCAATGGACCACCCCGTGGCCACACGTCCTCGTTTCGCACCAATCTCGGTCGGCCACGCCGGTGTCCTTGTGCATATCGTGCAATGCTTGTCATCAGCCAAGGACGTCCTCTCGCTGCTTGACGCGCTGCCACGTCATACGCTTGACGTGCCATTGGCTGCGCTGCTACACGCTCTTGACGACGCCCAAGACCTATCGCGTTGTCGATTGGTACTGGCCGCGGGCTTGCATCGCAGCGTTTACTAGTCGCCACTCCCCTACGCTGCTCGCCGCGCTTCCTATCTTTCGCTCCATTTCCATGAAGTTCCGTCGCGAGCTCGACGCGGTGCTACGCAACGCGACGAGTGAGTCAACGACGATGCCGCACGCAGCCACGATCGCATTCGTCTCCAAATGGGGCCACAAAATCAAGTCCATCGTCGTCAAGTTGCGGTTGCTACCCGATGCGATGGACGCTTTCCCGCGCCTTGTCCGCCTCTGCACAGGCCTCGACTCGATCGTGGTCTACGTCGACAAATCGCATCCGGCGATTGTCGCAGCGACGATCCGCGCGGCCCAGCACGTCAAACGCATGAGTCTTGTATCGTACAAAGCCGACGGGTACACCAGCGGCGACCTGCAACCGCTCTTGGCTGCATGGCTCGCCTCCGGGCATGTGACGCATCTGTACCTCAAGAACATCGCATGCCATGCCTCTCTCGGCCTTGCTCGAGCGATTGCAGCTGCGACGTCGCTCGCGAGTTTCAAGCTTAACAACGCCCCTGGCTTGCTACAAGGCCTCGTGGAGGCTGCTATCCCGCTCAAGGCCCTCAACGCGCTGCGCTTAACGCTAGACGAGGACGAAGCGTTTGCCGAACCGTTCTTGACCAACTGGATCGACCTCTCGGCGCTTCGAACGCTCGAAGTCCTCTCCGTCAACGATTTGGACTTGACGTATGTCCTGGCGCTACTACCGCATCTTCTGACGCTTGAAGAGCTCACGCTCAACTTTTGTGTGCTGCACGCCGTGCCGGCAGCACCGGCGCCGAACAGCCTGCGGACGCTGAACGTGTCGTACTGCCACATGAACGACGAGACGTGCCTAAGTCTCCTTGCTTGGGCGTCGCAGTCGCCGTGCCTCGAGACCATTACGCTCAACATGTGCCGCACGGTGCGCAGCAAGCCTGAGCTTTTTGGCCGCTACCTTCGCCGATGGATCATGAGCGGCGTCTCACATGTCGTCCTCGACCGCTGCGTGTTGGACAAGAAGAACATCATTGCGATTGCGACGGCGCTCCGCCACTCGAGCCGGTCAGCGCCGTTTACGCTATCGCTGGACTTCGAAGAATTTGGTCTCGAGTCATACCGCACGCTCTTGGAGGCACTCGCCACGTGCACCGGCGTTGGCCTCCACGGACACGGGTCGACTTTAACCAACGCCGACGAATGCGTTCAAATTGAACATTGGGTCTGGGAGCTCGATCTGCGCTACGACAAACGTGACTATGTCCTGCTCTTTTACAGTCCCTCGTAGCTACCAAGCACGTAAGGCGGCCAAGGTTTACATCTTCTATATGCATGTAATACTAGCAATACCAATGACCTTGTACTAAAATGTCAAAGCCGACCGTCTGCATTGGCGACATGGACGGCCCATGCACCGCGCAGCCCATGGCTCGGTGCCCACCAAACAAATTTTGGGTACCATCTGTGCTACGGGTCGATCGACAATGTCTGTTTCCACATCACGCAAATCTGCGCTCGGCCAAGGATGTCTATTCACTGTTCCAAGCGCTGTACTCGACGAGGTGCACCCCACACCTCCGAGTGGCTCGCGTCTGGACGTGCTCCGGCTCGAGAATTTCTCGGGCGACGACGATCATGGCTTTGCACGGGCAATCGCAGCCGCGACCTCGCTCTCAAGCCTCGAGCTTGTCAACGCCTCTGGTATGCTACAAGGCCTCGTGGGCGCTGCCGTGCCACTGAGAGCCATTACCGAGCTGCGCCTTTCTTTGCCCGAAGACGATACTTTTGCCGAAGCGTTATTGGCCAACTGGATCGATCTCTCGGCGCTTCGCATCCTCGAGCTCACATACGATGATGAGTTGGACTCGACGTTTGTTCTGGCGCTACTGCCGCGTCTTCTGAAGCTTGAAGAGCTCACGCTCAAGACGTGTGTGCTGCGCGTCGAGCCGGCGTTGCTAGAGGCGCCAGTGCCACGCCACTTACGGACGCCGACTCTTACGTATTGCACCATGGTCGACGAGACGTGCCTGGGTCTACTCCATTGGGCGTCGTGTGCCTTGCGACTGTTGCGCTCAACATGTGCGATAAAGTGTGCAGCAAGCCCGCGCCTTTTGGTCACTGTATACGAGGTGGTTTTTCCAGCAAAATTTGGTATCTGCACGATATACTATCTAACACATCCTATTAATACCTGCAGGTGTCAATCAAGAATCGAGGAAGATCGCAACCGTGGACGGTCCGGTCCAAGTGCGAGGACCGGTTCAGAGACACGGGTTGCGGTCTGCCGACACACGAGGAGGCAGCAAAAGAAGCGACATAATAGTCTGCAAGTGGAACATACAAATTGTATGAGAAACAAAATTCTCTCCATCCCTTTTTCCTGTATGAAAGCGACCAGGTCACGGCGTCGCTGAGCCGCATGTAACTAAAATAGAACACGTCTGAAATTCTATCTCCATCAACGCAATCCATTTGACGGAACCGGTGGCGAGGAATTTACATGGACAGCAAGCGACCGTGCCACGCGTCAATGACAGTGGTCCACGCCGGCTTCTTGAGCCACTTTGTGCAGTGCTTGAACTCGAAAGACGACATTCTCTCGCTGCTCACCGCGCTGCCGCGCGACGAGCTTGATGCTCCTTTGGCCGCGCTTCGGACGCTCTTGACGACGCCCTCGAGCGCGTGCAAAGCGCCATGGCCACACGTCTGCATCGAAGACATGGACAGTCAGCACATTTCGACGGTGCTCACAGCGCTGCCAATGATGCGCTCGATTTCCATCGGTAATCTCGACAGGCTGTGTGAGGTGCTACGCGAAGCAACCAGCGAGCCTGAGAGTGCTCCGTACGCAGCAGCAATTGCTTTTGCCACAAGATGGGGTCCCAAGGTTACGTCCATCGCTCTCTCGACGTGGCCGCAAGACAACAGTGCCGAGGCGCTCGCAACCATCATTCGAAATTGCACATCCATCTTCGCGATCGGCGTCGGCGCCGTTGCGTTGGACTCAGCGTGCATCAACGCCGCCATCTTCGCGGCCCAGCACGCCAAAAAGATACACTACGCATCAACAAATGGAGACGTGTACAACTGCGGGGATTGGCGACAACTCTTTGGCGCCTGGCTTGCGTCGGGGCATGCGATGGAGCTCCGTCTTGATGGCTTCACAAGCGATGACAACATTGGCTTTGCACGAGCGATCGCCGCTGCAGCGTCGCTCACGAGCCTCAAGCTTACTAACACACCTGACTTGCTACAAGGGCTCGTCGAGGCCGCTGTCCCGCTCATGTACATTACGCAGCTCCGTCTCGTCATCGACCATGACGTCGACGATCTTGCGGAAGCGCTTCTCACGAATTGGATCAATCTCCCGGCCCTTCGCGTTCTCAAGATCCGCTCCGCGGACAGCGCCGACGCGACGTTTGTTTTGGAGCTACTGCCGCGCCTCGTCACGCTGGATGAGCTCTCGTTTGAGACATGCACGCTGAGGAGTGTGCCTGCGTTGCGAGAGGCGCCGGCGCCGCGCCGCCTGCGCGTCTTGAGTACGCGGGCGCTGCGGTGTGACGAAGACGATGACGCGTGCCTCGATCTCTACGCGTGGGCCGCACGCTCGCCATATCTCCATATTGTCCACGTGGAAGCCACCGCCACGCTGTGGCACAAGCCCGTGCTTTTTGGCCGCCAGCTTCGTCGATGGATCCAAGGCGGCGTCTATCGCATCTCTCTGGAAGACTGCGACGTGGACGACAAGAACATCATTGCCATTGCCGGTAGCCTCTGTGACGCACGCCGGTCGCAACCGTTTGTGCTTTCGTTTTATGTCCAACCGATGTGCCTCAGGTGGTACTACATGCTCATGGAAGCACTGGCCACCAGCGTTGGTGTCAGCATCGAATGCGACGATTTCAGTCACGAAGGCAATCGCCAAGAAATGGACACCTGGGCGACACGATTTCACCTGCAACTCCATCACGACATGAACGATCGATTGACCATCCATAGCCCCTTTTCTTAAAAAGTGGATCCAGTACCTCGTATCCGGATTGAAAATCAAAAGAGCAAGAGAGTTTCTCCCTTTCTATTCATGGTACAACACGTTTACATCCCTCGAGCGATCTCATAAGCACGAAATTAATCCCGACCTAGAAAGGAGGGGCAACATCTGCAGGTGGCGTTCTTGGACAAGACGTGCTATACTATTGGATAGACCATCTTTCATTCCATGGCCGTTCATCGTTGTGTTGAGCCCCACGACTATGACGCCGACTTTGGTTAACGAAATGTCTCACACACAACGTCTTCTTTAGGTGTCTACACAGCAAGTACTATCGATGTGCCCTTGGAACGGACAGGTTGCTACACGAGTGCGTTTCACAGGAATCAAAGCCAACCTGTGGGCCTGCCACGTATTTCCAATCGAATCGCTGGAAGATTTGCAATTTGTCCAATGGCCGCTGCAACCGCTTCCTTCGTCAATCGATTCGCAACGCCGTGGGAACCATCCTCACCATCACAGCAACGCTCCACGACACACGACGGTTGCCCGCCTGTGATTTGGCTTGATGAGCGATACCGACGTCTCAAGTGGCCCGAGTTCGGTCGCGCCCTTGTCAAGTTTATGAATAGTAGTTTGGCGTGGTTGCTTGACGGACCGGTCGGCGTGGTACCTTACCCCTAGTCAGGACCTGAGAACGCACGGCGCCATCATCCCCGACGGGGTTCACCACCCAGTGCTTGCGCAATAGCACAGTCAGCTGCCTTCTCTACCAGAATCCGCTGCTAATATCACCAGCAACCCACCGCTAGACACCGCGTCCACGCAACAAAAAGCTATGTCCCAACATTTAGAGTAAAGTCATTGCCATTGCGATGTTGGTTGCAGAACAGTGCCTTATGTCCCAACATTTTAAACAATAGACTATTAGCACCCACCAACGTTCTAAAACCAAACGCTCGTTCCTCATGATCATGACATTCGACTTGGTGGGCTGCAATACACAATACTCGACAGCAATCGAAAGCAGCGCAAAAACGTCATCGATACAACAAAACTATAGTACAGGCATGGACGACATCACCACGACGACAATATTCCCGCAAACAATCTCTACGCTTGGCCCGACTCGCTTCCCCACGAGTCGTCAAAGTAGTCGGCGAGGATCCGGGTCACAACCATATTGCCGTTGACGTTGGTCGACGTGCAGATCCGGTCCAAGAGAAAGTCGATGGCGACGATGTAAATGAACGCGCCGGGGAGCGGGATGTTGGGCAGCACGGTCTTCCAGACCGTCATGAGCATAATGAGACCCGAGTTGGGGACTGGCGCCGTGCCCACGCAGCCCAAAAGCGAGACAAAGAAGAGCACAACGAGCTCCGGCACGCCGAGGTGGCTGCCGACACCACCGACGTTGGCCATAAAGACCGTCAAGAGCGGGTAGTAAAAGCCGGGCGAGTTGAGGTTGACCGGCGTACCAAGACACATCATGAGCTGGGCGAGCTGGCGCGACACTTGACGCGTCTGGTGGACGACGGTGACCGCAACCGGAAGCGTCGCCATCGACGACGAGCAGCCAAACGCAAACACGTAGGCAGGCACAAGCTGCCGGAGGTAGTTGTACGGGTTGATGCGCGTAAACAAAAAGAGGTAGAGCGGCATGACGATGAGGACATGGACCATGACGCCGGCGATGAAGAAGAGGATGAGGTACCCGCCTTGGGCCATGATATTCGTGCTCGTTGTACTGTACGTCACAATCGAGCTCGACAAGAGGAAGAAGACCGCGAATGGCGTCAGCTTGAGCACCGCGTTGATCATGAGAAGGAGCGTGTTGCGACTCTGGCGCAAAATGTTGAGGAGGTAGTTGGTGCCTGGACCAAGCGCTTCGTTGTGCGACTTTGCAACCGCGACGCCGAGCGGCAAGGCAAACGTGAGGATGCTGAGAAGCGACCCGCTGGCCATGGCTGCGAAAATGTTGTCGGGCACGACCAAGTTGATGATTCCAATCACTTGCTGTGTCAGCGTGAGTTGCTGAAACGCCGCGTTGGTACTCAGCACATTGTTGACATCCTGGACCGTAAAGAGCGCGCTCGCGTTGGCACTTGGACTCAAGCACGCCAGCGTGCCGTTGGCGAGCGTCTCCAAGAACTGCCCGTTGGCACACCGGAGACCCAAGACGATGCCATTGGTCGAGGTCGCATTGCTTTGCGAGACGGGCCAGTTGGCGTTGAAGACGCTGTTGTAGATCAAGGCGACGACCATGCCTTGCATGGTGGCGAGGATCGACGTCGAGAAGAGGACGGCGGCCGTGCGCCACGTTAAAATCGACGTTTTGTTCAACACGACAATTTCGGCGATCGAGACCGTCATCGTGCTAAACACCAACGGCACGACAAGACACCGCAGTGCGCGCACAAAGAGGTTGCCGGGCAGCTCGAGCCAGAGCGCGAGGTCTGGCGGAATGTTAAATTTGGTCAAAATCAACCCGAGACCGATGCCAAGGCAGGCGCCGATGACGACTGTCATCGAGTTGAAATACGTCGCGGTCTCGCGCGAGTCGTAGTTGCCGTGGGGCGCCGCTGGCTGGCCCTCGAGAATCGGGTCGTCCTGCAACGAGTAGACGGGCGGCGTGTGCGGCCCAAGCGTCTCGACCGGCGTTGACCGAAAGTTGGTGCGTGCGTTGACCGACTCGAAGTGGGCCGGTCGGCGCTCCTGGGAGCTTGTCGACGAGACGCCGCTGCTGAGCATCGCCGGCTTGCATGTCGGCTCGGGCTCGTAGAGGTAAATGCCTTTGCGCGGCGGGTCCATACTGAAGAAGGGTTGGAGTGGTACTGCGTGCAGTGCGGCGAAATGCGGTCTGGCAATGCTCTGTGAGAAGGAAAATACATCCAGCAGAGGTGCGGCAGCTGATCAGACGATGTATCTTTTCGCAAACCAGATGTTGCGCGGACGGCTAGGCGCGCCACCCGACCTGACCCGATAAAGAAGCGAGTCGTTCCTGTGCAACCACCTCTCTACCTACCTGGTACATACACAAAGACATGAAAATGCACGGCACGGGACGGCGTGGACCTGGCGTGCTTGCAAACGCGAGGCGTGCGTTGGTTGACTCGATATATGGACCGTGTGGACGGTTCCGTATGGCTGGGCGTGGGCGTGCATGGACCATACTGTGCTGACACCAAGACCGAGTCGCACCCACGAGCACGTGGCTACTCGAGGTTACGCAAGACATGAAGGCGGAATTGTGAGCAGCACGGCCGATCGTTTCGACAGGCGCGGGCCGTCGCACCTCTCATTGGTGATTGTAGTGGCTCGCTCGACGTAGTACGGGGCCGCTTTCCGTACGTGGCTCTTTAGCTTTTCGAATGCAGCGTAGCTTTCTAGCTTGTAGCATGTATCACCGCTCGTCAAGGATCATTCGAACGGCTTTGTAGTATGGCGTCAAGACGCCACGCTGGACCAGGTACCCATTCTCTCGAGGCTCAACAACAGTAAACGTCATATTGGCCGATCCCATACGAGTCGTTGGCGGGAAATCGTTATTGGTACCCCGAGCAGATGGTTATGCCAGCACTGATTGGCTTTCACGTTCGGGTAAGGGGGTAGGTGAAGAGGGCAATTGAAATGATTGGCTGACAAATCAAAACCTTATGTAAATCGCCATCTGCTCGGGGTACCAATGACGCCTGCCGTCGTTGGCGGTCGGAGTATCTTGGCCAGCTGCTGTAGCAATCACAAGGGCAATTTGCCGTTCACCCACGTTGTCAGTCACGGTCTGTCACGGAACTTGCCGTTTGGTTGAACCTTCCTGCGTGCACCCAGCGCCGTCTTCTTTATTTTGCTGCAGTGTTACAAACTGGTCCTTGTCCACGCTCTCCTTTACGCTGCACGTGCAGAAAAGGGCATGCGAATGGCGTGAGGCCAGTGCGTCGACGCAGAAATATCGCCTTCCGTGGGACGTCCAGATACAGTCGCTCGCTCGTCTGGATAACAGCGTTTTGCTTGGTCTGACGCAAAACCACGTGAGTCGCTGCAGTTGCTGTGCAGTACTGCTGCAGACGTGATCCTCGAGGAGTTATCACAATGCCGCCGCGTTGATGTTATGTGGGAGCTGGACATGGCATGAACGAGCAGATCATCATGCATCCAAGTGGATCGGTCCTTTCCAAGTTGCAGTAGCTTCAAGGCCAGAGAAAGTCAAGGCCAAGTGTCAGAAAGACACTGTGCGTGCGAAGAATTCGCGTCGTCCATTTGTCGCCAAGTCTCGTCAGGGTACACATCGCAACATCTTTTTCCCTGCATTTCCTCGACGTCACCTACATCAAGGTGCAAGGCCGGTGCAATTGAGGAAGGAAGCGCAGTACTGAATGTATCCAACGAAATGACTGCCTTTTCTTCAATGTTTCCTCTTACTTCTTCACGACGTACGTACATTGCAGCGCCGCAGGTATCGCCAATGGCCTTGGTATCGCTGATCTCGTGTTGAGCTCATCTCCGATGCCCGCAGCAAGCAAGGGATTGTGTTTTCGAGGCGCGGCCCCTTGGTTCCATAAAATATACGTCCGGAGGCTGCCACAAGTCTCCAATCCGATCGCACAAATGCCCGAAAGACAACATGTGTCAACAAGGATGCTTGACAAAACACAATAGAACGAGCGAGCCTACCGCTGCCCAAATATGTTGACGCTGTCGACATAACTCTAAGAAATAGCACGGTCGTGTAGTGATGCGACCCGCATGCATCGCCTTCATCCAGTGAAGAAAATCTCTTGCTAGCTTGCACTGCGAGCTTGCCACGTATCACCAATCAGATCGCACAACAAATCATCAGTATCCAATCATATTGCGTCGTGGCCAGAAGCCCGTATGAGTATTCGATGATGGACAAGCAGACGCCAATGAAGGCTGTCGACGCGGGCGCCTTGGTCCACACCACCCAATGCTAGGCCTCGACCAAGGACGTTATCTCGCTGCTGCAGGCGCTGCCACGTCATGCACTCGACGCGCCATTGGCTGCGCAACAAACACTCTGGATGGCGCCCTCGGCCTTTCGCAACAGCACCGGCCGCACGTCTGCATCGTACTCATGGACGGACTATCACAACGAAGCGACGGTGCTGACAGCCCTGCCGACCTTTCGTTCTATTCGCATCCGGCATCTTGGCGGTCACGACGAGGAGCTTCGCGACTTGGGCAACAACGAACGCGAGGTCACCTCTGTCGCATTCGCCGCCAAGCGGGGTCACAAGGTTACACGCATCGACGTGACGCCGTGGCTCGAAGTCCGTCATAACACTGCACTCACGCGTGTCTGTGGTCTCTGCACGGGTCTTGTCTCGCTCGCCGCGACCGTCACGATCGAGTCGGACGCAACGATCCTCACAGCGGTCATCCATGCGGCGCGCCACGTCAAGCCGCATCGAATGGGCTTTTTTCGGTGGCACACCGTGCTCTTCGTGCCCGCTTTGCGACGTGGTTGGCGCCGGGGCATGCGACGTACCTCAAATTGACAGGAATCGCGTCCCCGGACAACAACGGCTTTGCACGAGCCCTTCCTCCACGTGGCTGGCGTCTGGCCACGCGACGCACCTCCACCTCGATAGGTTCACATGCGACGACGACGTCGATATGGGCCATTGCTTCGCTGCTACGACGTCGCTTACGAGCCTCAAGCTACAAGACTCGCCTCGTGTCATCGAAGGGCTCGTCGCTGCCAGCGTGCCACTCCCCAACATCACGGAGCTCCGTTTACACTCATCACATGCCGATATCCTCAAAGACATTGTGACGCAACGAATCAATCATCCGCGTCTTCGAGTCCTTGAGCTTGCGGCCAACTATGACGCCGACGCAACATTTGCCTTGGCGCTACTGCCGCAGTTGAGTGCTCTGGAAGAGCTCTTGTTCGACCTCTGTACGTAACGCGAGGTGACGGCCCTGCCGGCGCCACACCGTCGAGTGCTCCATCTGACCAATTGCGACATGGACGACGATGTTCTCGTCGTAATATACGCGGTTCATAGGTGCCGGTCGGCAGCCAGCGCTTCTTGTGTGCACGTTCTTTCGACAACATTTATTCAACCAAAAGTGGAAGAATGAAACCCTTGCGGTATGTACCATAGATATACATCGTACAGTTTGTATGGTCGATGGCGGGTCGAGACGCCCTTATTTCTATCTATACATACGGCCCACACAGCTATGCCGTTCTATTTTCACTCTACACTTCATTTTGACCGGACGATGGACCAGCAAGGTGGGAGCAAGCAGGCCTGCGTGGCACCAATCGCAGTCGTCCACGCCAATATTCTCGTCGACATCATGCGATTCTTGGACTCGACCAAGGATCTCCTCTCACTCGTGCAGGCGCTGCCACGTGACGCGCTCGATGCATCCCTCGTTGCCTTTCGGACGCTCTTGGTGACACCCAATGTCTTGAATATCAAGCTCTGGCCGCAAGTCTGCATCGAAGACATCGATCTCCGCTACACCTCGACCGTGCTCGCGGCTCTTCCAATCTTCCGCTCGATCCGCATCGCAGAGCTCGCGCGACTCAATGCCACGTTGCTAGGCCGCTGCATCCAGGATGACCCACCGTCTCTCCCAGCCACGACCGATTTCGTCGCCAAGTGGGGTCATAAAGTCGACTCTATGAGCGTGACGTCGTGCGAGCAAAAGCGAGGCATGGACAAGCTCCAATGTATCTTGCGTCTCTGCACCGGGCTTCGCCACGTCGACTGCACCACCTTCGAGTCGGCTCCGATGTTCTTGAATGTTGTCGTTCACGCCGTGCCGCACGTCCAGCGCCTTGCCTACTGCTCGCTCAACTTGAGCGACGACGACGCCATATCTCCGTGTGAGCCCTGGCGACCAGTTCTTTCCACGTGGCTAGCGTCTGGCCATGCGACGCACCTCCACCTCGATAACTTTACGTGCGACGACGACGTCGGCCTCGGCCACTGCATCGCTGCCACGACATCGCTTACGAGCCTCAAGCTACAAGACTCACCTGGCGTCGTCCAAGGGCTCGTCGCTGCCAGCGTGCCACTGCCCAACATCACGGAGCTTCGTTTGCACTCACCCGATGCCGATATCCTCAATGACTTTGTGACGTACCGGATGCATCATCCGCGCCTTCGCGTCCTGGAGCTGGCGGCCACCCACGGAGTAGACGTAACATTTGCTCTGACGCTACTGCCGCAGTTGAGTGCTCTGGAAGAGCTCGCGTTTGGCCAGTGTACGGTGCGCGAGGAGCCGGCCCTGGACAGCACGCCGGCGCCCCGCCTTCGGGCGCTCCGACTGACCTATTGCGACATGGACAACGACGTTCTCGTCAGTCTCCTTGATTGGGCCTCGCGGTCGCCGTGCCTCGAGACGGTCGAGCTCAACATGTGCGACATGCCACAGACGCCGCCCGAGCTCGAACGCCTTGGCCGCTCCTTCCGCCAATGTATTGAGGCAGGCGTTCGCTCCATCACCCTCCACGACTGCGAATTGACGCGCGTCGAAGCCATCGCCAACGTGGTCCGTGCTCTGCATCAACCACGGCTATTTGTCCTCAAGATCGACTGCGCAACACTACGCATCGCATTGAGCCAGCCACTTTTAAAGGCGCTCGCCACGAGCACTGGCGTCCGCATCGAGTGGTCGTTTTCTGGAGGGCTCAAGCGCGACACCCTCGTCCAGATGCGCAAGCTGGCGAAGAAGTTCCAGCTACGCATCAGCAAATGCGGCAAGGATACGGTGTGGATCTCTAGTCCTTTGTAAACGTCGTCCAGGAGGCACGACGACATCAACGCGCCCGACATTCATGTAGCATTGTATCGACAACCTCTCTCTATTATCGATTCATCCCTCTATCTATCCACCTATCTATCCATATATCCATATTCCGATACGAGCCATTTCGTCGTGCGGCACCCTTGCGTGCCCCGCGCGCGAGAATCAAGTTGGTACATTGCATTATCATGTCTGCGTTGCAGACGCGGCTTAGGTCGGGAATAGGACGTCCAAGGAAGAAACGTCAATTTTATGTTCATCTTTAAAGCCCTTTTCGATGCCCCGTGTACCCGAGCAGGACTTTGTGTCTACAGGCAGATGACACTAATGACACGGTGCACTCTCAACGTACCGGTTCTCGGTCTCGAGTGTCTTGTGCTGCGTGGTATACGCGGTAGAGAGGTGCGCGGCCGGCAGCCTACGCTGCGTGTGCGCACGATTTCTTTTGAAACACATGTTTAGAGCGTACGGTTGATGGGCCAGCGCGTCGGATGCCGCGAGGCGCTGACCAATCCCAGCGAGCAGCGACCCTTGCTTGCGCACCTCGGGCAGCTTCGTCGCCGCCTGTCCCACGTCAGCAATCGCACCAGTCGTCGTCTTATTCGTACTGTCTCGAGTGGCGGGAGGGTGCGCGGGGGCGTCCCACGCTTGGCATCCACCTACGAGCTGCTCGATGGTCCACCCGTACGACGACAGCCCATGCGTACAGCTGCCTGGGGGTGTCGTTTATGCGGCAACTGGCCCAAGCTTCGAACCGTGCCGGGCGCTTGGTTATCGCGGTTGTTGTGCGCCGCCGCCGACGTCTGGAGCTCATACGACCTACCCTCACGATAGTTTCGTGAACATGTCAACGCAACTGCGGTACGTTTTCCAGTTGTTGCAGTTGTGCTCGCCACCCGGTCCAACCTGGACCGGCGTGTTCAGTCACCCTCTCTCGACGCCATCGAGATCCATACCTGGTGTACGCCGGTATGGAACGGAGAGTCTTTGGCTGCCTACACCCAGGTCGTTGTCCGTACATGGCGTCGGCGCCGACGAGAATATGCACCGGGTCGACGCTGGCTTGGTTGAGATTCTGCGTAAACGTCCGTCGACCGGCCGGTTTCTCGGCCATGAGGGCAGGCAAAATGGCATCTTTGCCGTGGACCAAGTGCTACGAAAACACGTGACGATGCAGCCCTTACACAAAATATGCTGCGTCGTACGTCTCGGGTCGACGCGGGGTCTTGATACGACCGCTTCTTGAACGTACGGTGGACGTAGCCGCCCCAGTCCGCGTCCGGGTGCGACGGATCGAAGCGGTCCTTGCAGTAGCCCGTGATGGGCACCGCGTCGCTCTCGGTCCGCGGGTCGAGTCGCTTGGCCGTCGTCATGGTGGGGGTGGCACCTAAAAATACGCGCCGGGGAGCGAGGGTAGGGTAGGGCTAGGTTTCGATCCTCGGGACGGTCATGGCATTCTCTCAACGCATATAACGCAAATATGACCTTCTCGAAGTCAGGTCATGGACTGCAGTAGGTAGTAGCTACGTCTGTAAGAGGTCGCTAGGGCGACAAGATGTAGCTATGAAAGACTTCCACCTCGTACGGCGGCGTTAAGAACAGCGTTGGCGGATGCTGTGTGACAGCCATACCCGGTACTAGAATACCGTCCATCACGGCCATGTCGTCTCCCTTACTGTTATCGCCTCAATAGGTTCCTCACGGCTCTGAATACTTCTACCTGCTTTCGCAGCCCAGTCATGTTGAACACCACACCATAGCAAAAGAACGTTTTGCTGCCATAGGCTGCAGTCGATATGAAAGATCGTGCGTTGCGGTGCGTCCACACGGATGGAAACAAGCCAGTACGTGGATATTACCATGCCTCTTACGAGGCCTTGACGGCGGGCGCGTCGCCCTTTTCTTGGCGTCGTCGGCGCACGTCAAAGTTGAAGATGCGCGCCATGTTGACTTCGGTCGTAATGATCTGGTCGCGGAGGAAGCCGAGGTCCGCTTCGATCTGCGAGAGGCGCGACGTGGCTGTCGAGAGGTTGCTTTGCAGCAGTGCAAGCGCTTCGTCAAACGAGTACTCGACCATGACGTTGGCGCCGAGCCAAATGCACACGGTCTGCACGTCGGCGTCGATCGTCGCGTTCGCAAACACGTTGTCGGCGAGGCTAAAGTGCGTCTCGATCGGCTCGTCCTTCTCACGCGACGCCATGAGATGCTCGAGCATCGCGAGGTCCTTCTCCGTGTCGGGAATCTTGGTCTTGAACGACTGCTTGGACTTGGTCAAATTCGTTTCCATAAACTTGTACTTGGAGTAGAGCTGCTGCAGCGCGCCGACGATGCCTTCGACCGGGTCCGCGCCCACAAAGGCGGCGACGTCCTCGACGAAGATGGCACACGGGATACCGCGCTCGTTGCGCTCGCCGAGGAGGCGGTCGGTGATGTCGGACGACTCGGCCATCGTGTCTGCTTTGGAAAGTCCAACCAGTGGTGACGGTTGGTATTTTAATACGCAGGTGGTTTTTACATACAAAAAGTAGCATGGCGTAAAAAATTGGAAAATATTACGAGACAGGCGGATCCGGATACGACGACGCATTGCGCGCGGCCAGCACCCCAAATGCAAACTGGCGAGGGTGTGGGCACGTCATTGCTTCAAGCGCTGCGGTAAACACGACGTGTTGCGCGGAAGGTACAAGACGACCGGTAAAGCTAAGCTACCAAGGGTACATGAATTTAGTTGAATTGATGAACTCTTAAAGCTACGGACTGCAGTCCGTTGTACTGAGCGGTAGTGTCGAACACAACGTCTCCGTGTCAAGACCAGCGAACGCGATGGCTTGTAAGAGGCTCGAAGCGTCGAGGCAATGCAATTGGACAACATATCACCAAGCACGATGTACGTGCAATTGAACAGAGCAATAAGTTGTCGGATCTTATCGGCTAGCCTTCGCCAGCCTAATGCTAACAAGGCTCGTCTTGTCTTGATTGCACAAAGTCCTCTATTTTAAAGTACAGACTCTCTTTGGAACGCCTTTCTTCGCAGCAAGGAATGTCAGTGGGCGCTGGGTCTTGCGATCGGGCACGACGATCAGTCATGCATCCGCCCACGACGACCCTCGTCTTGTCCCAAGCAGGTTTCTTGAAACGCCACGTTTCTGACATCATCGGATTCAACTATTTCCAACAGCGGGCCTTCCGACGGCTGCTAATTTTAACGCCAAATGCCGCTGCCGTACCCGATCATCGAAGCGCGCTTTCAGATGCTCGACGCATCGATCGCCAAAGCCGCTGCCACTGCTACCTCCAAGCACGTTCGCCTGAACGCGTCCGACGCGCTGCGCGAGACGGTGCGGCAGACGCGCAAACCGTCACGGCGGACGCCAGCGTCGGTCCACGCCATTCCGCGGCCTACGATGACGACGACAAAGTCGCCGTCCAATGACCGGCGGCGGTCCAACCAGTACGAAGCGACCCATCGCCGGCTGTCGATGGCAGCAGCGCACGCGCACCCGTTGGTGCCGTCGGCGCCACAGCCTCTGCTTCACACGTGGGGCGAGAGCACGACCAGTGTCGACGCGAAAGAAGCGCGCTTGCACGCGGTAGCCCAAGAGACATGGGCGGTGCGATGCGCGTATGACCGATTCCAAGCCATACTGCTGGGTCTAGGCCATTGAGCAAGGGCTGCAGAGCGCTCGCCCGTCCACTGCCAACGCCGCCTCGACCCCGACGCGACCAGTACCACGCGTTGCAACGCCGCGTCGGGACTTGAATTTGTTGCGTAGCTGAGCCGCGGTACTAAAGCCAAGTCGGCCGGCGCGACGCGCGGCAGCCTCGCATCTTCGACGAGTCGCCACCAGCTCGAGCAAGCGCAGTGTACGATGCATCGATCAAGAAGAAGGATGGACGATCTACTCCATTGTAGCTATAGCATGCGCATCGCCGCATGCGACGGCGTGGCAAAGCGACGCGGGAGATTCAGACAACCCGAGATCGACGAGCTCGAGCCCGAGGTCGAGTCGCGCAGGATACCATCCATGATCGTGCGACGACCACCCCCGACGATCCGCAAACCGTCGTCCAAGCAGCTACTGCGCTCCGGCTTGGCTGGCTCGTCTTCGCGTAAACTGCCGCGCAATTGGCTCGAAAACACCGGCGCGCGCAAGGTGATGTCGCCACGCCGGCCACCAATGCAGGTTCAAATCCCAGTGCAAAGCGCCGTGGCGCTGCCTGAGACTGCGCCACCAGATGCCGAGGTTCCAGAGCCCGTGGATCGCATGGCCAACATCCATGATGCGTGCTTCTACTTGCTCGAGATCCGCCTCGAGCACTCGAGCTCGCTTGCCGGCTGGACGTTCCGCGTGATCGTGACAGACATTACAGCCACGGACCGCCCCCACATCCTCATTTCCAACATGACAGTATGTACACTAAAATGGACACCTCATGTCCAGTGACGGTCTGTCTATCTAGTGCAACGAGGCGCACTGCATTCTCTTCCTCGACCCCAGCACAAAGGCGTTCACGACGTTGTTCAACCCGCTTTTGTATTTCGACCATGTGACGTCGCCCATCGAGGTGCGCCGTTGCGATAGCTCAACATGGTGAGCAATCATCCTATGGTAGCTGTATGACCACTCGCTCCACATCCAAGTCATTTCCGAGTCACCGATTCAAAAGCCGATTGTCGACACCTACGTCCATTACACCGTCGGACCCGACGACACCAGTAAATGGATAGCATGACATGCGAGCACGGAAACGATTGCATTCGATAGCGCCTCTTCCCGACCTTGAGCCGCTTCAGCTCGAACTGGACGCCACGATCCCGGCGCCGCCCTGTAGCACCCTTGACAACAGCGCCTACATCTATGCCAACCACTTTGAAGCCAGGTCTGGACATGCGTGTTCATATAGCACCGACGACCGACTGTGGCATAGGACTGCGAGCTCGCCGACCAAGCCGATAGCGCCGTAGCCACGCTGCCCTTGCCATGCCACGTTGCCTCATGCGACGCGTCGTAGGCTCATTCAAAAGGCACCGCAGACGCCGTTGGAAGCGCGCAAGAACGAGCTGCAGCGCATGCGCCAGTCGATGCGGGTAGGTGCGTTATCGCAGCAGGGCAAACATCAAATCGCGCTTGTAGAACGAACTCCTCCTCGAGCAACAGCGACTCTCGCTCTCGCTGCGGTGAAGCAACTCGTCGCACAGCGCGAAAAGCGTGTGTATAGATGGATAGGATTGAATGGATAGTGGATAGTGCGGTAGGATAGAAGAGGATGGCGTCGTCGCAAATGTACAAATAGCATCGTATGCATATCCACCATCTCTCTCTCTTGCGTATGATCTAAGGGCACTGCATGAACAGACGATCCTTGGATCAAGCTGGGCATCGCAAAGCACCTCTACGGCGTTTATCTCGATCAGCCATTCCTCTACAACGACATGCCCGAGGTGCTCCGTCGCTACAAACATCGTGTTCAAGTTGGTAGTCTGCCTCGCCAAGTGGCCTCGATTGGTGCGCCAGGACATGACAAGGCAGCCGATGCGGGCTTCTTTGTGGCAACGAAGCTCATGGCCGTCCTAGATGGCTGTGTGCCCGCCATGGTGCTTATATCTCGACGTAGTATTACCGGACGAGCACGGGTCGAATCCCAGTTTTATTGCCATCTCGCCGATTTAGACGCCGCGGCAAACTACATTGCAATCTTCCGACAGCTGGAAAAATTGATCATTCGCCCAAGTACGGTCACTCGTGAAGTAAGCAGCCACTCTTCTCTGTGCTAATATATATGATGTCGAGAGACCGAGTCCAGCGATCGGCTTCGGCCGTCTCGTGCTGCCACGTTGCGTGAAAGATTTCGAGTAAGATTGCAAGATCGGGCCAACGATATTTTAATTCCAACGATTTATTTTGTATTCATATATCGAGTACAACAGGATGTAATTGAATGGAACTTGACGCCCGTTTTGAATTTTTGAATCCGACGATGTGATTGGCCATGTGCGGAGTGGCCGATTCGGATTGGCCAAAATACAGCGCAGCCGGCGGTTGACGTCCCATCCAGCATTCCATTTCACGTGGGAGCTGCCAGCCGGAGACAGGACGACGACGTCGCCCTTCGCCGCCGATCCCGCCACCTCCGCCTGCCCGCTGCCGTGGCCGCACACCACCGCCCGTCGCTCGCCGCCAAGCCGCTTCCAACGACACCACGCATGAGCAGTAGCAAGAAGATCAAGCCCGCGCTGGAGGTCCTCCTCGAACGCGAGCGCGAGCGCATGAAGCAGCGCCAGGAAATGGAAGACATGATGCAGCACTCGGACCTGCTACGCAGCATTAGTAGCCTGCGCACGGCCAAGGACGCCTTAATCGAAGCGCCGGCGGCCAAGCGCCCGCGGCTAGAGCCCGTCGTCTGCTGCGCGACCGAGTCGTCGTCTGCTGAGGACAGTGGCAGCCGGACGCCCAGCGTCCGCGACGATGTGACGACGCCGCCGCCAACGACGCTGCCCAAGAAGTCGTGCAATTGCAAGAAATCCAACTGCCTCAAGCTCTACTGCGAGTGCTTCCAGCAAGGCTCGCTCTGCGGCGACGACTGCAACTGCCAAGGCTGCCACAACAACATCGTACGTCATACATGCCCTATCACGACACTGATGCGCTGTCTTGTCCTAGAACTTTGAAAGCCAGCGGCAACGTGCTATCCGCGTCGTCCTCGAACGCAACCCCGTCGCGTTCCTTCCCAAAGTCTCGAAAGGGTACATGATGCTATCGTCCTGCGACATGATCTCATGCGATGTATTACTAGAAGCAACACGACGGTGGCCACGACCAAGTACTTTCGCGGCTGCCGCTGCAGGCGAAGCGGGTGCCAGAAGAAGTACTGTGAATGCTACCAAGCCGGCGTTAAATGTGGCACGCTCTGTCGATGTCAGGTCGGTCCTTCCAGCCTTCCAGCGTCCTTTACTCACATCTCTCTCCTAGATGTGCAAGAACCACTGCTCGGACGCCTCGCACGCGCCGCCGACCAACGAGAACGCCCACGAGCAGCCCAAGCACCGGCCGGCGCTCCCAGCCCCCGAGCGCTTCGCCGCCTTTACCCCGCCATCCCTCGATGCGCTCGTGCCCCTACGGCCCGTGCACCAAGTACCGTTGGCGATTGCGCCGCCGGCCAAGCGACGACTCCCGCCGCAGTCCACCTCGCACCACCATGTGCACACGCCGCCGCCGATGCCCATGCCGTTGCCGCCACCGACGTCGGCGCCCGTTCGAACCAACGTCTACTCGCGGCTCTACCCGCTGCAGGTGAGCATGGCCTCGGACGCTGCGCTCTCCAAGATTTGCAACTCGCTCGTGCTGGCGGCGTGCGACGAGCCGATTGCGACGCCGCCGCCACCGCATTCGCCCGTGGCCAGCACCACGCCAAGCTCGCAGTCGTCGTCGTCCCCAGCCGACGCGCTCTGGTGCGCCGAGGACCTTGCGGAAACCCCAATGAAGACTGTGGTTGTCGATATGCGCGCCGAGATGCAGGAGCGCGCGGTGCTCCAAGAGTTTAGCGCGTGGCTGCGCAACATTGCGACGGCAAGCGTCAACCACATTCTCAAAAAGCCCTAGTCGTCTGCGTTGCACCGTATTTAATACCACGCTCGTTGTTCGTATCTATGAGTTGGCTCGAACCCAGAAGCACCGTCTAGAAACAATTTGTTGCTTGCAAGCTGGAAGCAGAACGTCACATTGCCGACGACACAAAGCGGTTTATGGGCTATGCGTACCATGCTGGTTCCAAGCACGACGCATCGAGCGTTCTCAAACAGAAACTCTGCCTCCACTGGTGAGACGCCATAATGATCAAGACTAACGTTAGTAAACCAGATACGTAGTATACTACCCTTCTCAATGCTTCGGCCAGAACCGTCACACGTCTTTGGCTCTAGTGGTGTTTTCTTACTATTATAGAGGCGTAGTGTTTTCTTACTATTATAGAGGAGTAGAATGCGAGTGCTACGCAAGCGTATCGTGCTACCAAGCGCGTGCAATCTAAGACCTAGGAGCCCTAACCGCGAATAAATCTGTTTTCGCTTCTTTTTATTGGCCAGCAAAACACATTTTTGACCAATCCTGTGCGATGTGAGGCTGGCCACACCGCGACAACGACCGCCGAGCGACTCGATCGCCCAAATGGCTTCCGAAAATGAAATCGCTCATACTTGGCACAGTCATAGAAGACCTTGTGGGGAACGCAAAACGCTACTTCCAGTTACCATTGGAGGCGTACAGCGAGAGCAATCGACTCCTTTCTTTAGGGCGGCATATGCCAGATTTAACAATTGTTTGCGGCATATGCCACGACAAGCGTCGTGCAATGCTCTGCCAGCTTGCTCTGTCAAGGTTGAGTCTGGTCACGTTGTGGCTGCAAGCGTTCCTTGTGAGCGCAAGTCCCTACGACGGGCGCAACTATAGATTACGTATATCGGTGAGGCTATGCATGCCTTGCAACCTCCAACGTGCTGTCATTTGAGAAAAGATTTCCAAGCTAGTACTTCTATGGCCGTGTCTCGTCGTCACTTATCTAGTCGCTGGATAGCACACCGAGTACCCAAGTAGCTCGGTTGCCACCGATCGACTCGCCGCCTCTAGAGGACGCCTTCTTGGATCAAGATCCATTCGACAGCCTCGTCCACCGAGTCGACGACAACGTCGCCAGGGTGCTCGTCATGGTTGTCGGCGTCCGATTGGAAGACGCCGGTGCGCACCAGCACCGACGTCCAGTGGTGGCCGGCGGCGTTGGCACCTTGAATGTCGCTGAACGGGTTGTCGCCAATGCCGTAGAAGCGGTCGCACTCGGGCGCTTGCTCGCGCATGACTTGCTCGGCAAACTCGTACTGGACCAGGTGCGGCTTCCCGAACCGCGTGACTTCCAGTGTCTTGCCCGTGTGCTGTTCGTAGAGCAGCTGGAGGCAGCGCGTAAAGGCACCTTGCGCGAACCGGGGCACCGGGTACGCGCCGCTAAAGGTAAAGTCGTCGTTGCTCACAAACAGCGGCGTCTGCGGCCCGTGCCCGCTCCCGAGCGGATCGCCGCCCACGAGCGCATCGATGGCGATCTGCAAATCCTGCGCCCAATGGATCGGGTCGTGGAAGATGATGATCGCGCCAATCGGCTCGTTCTCGAGGTGGTGCGGCCTAGTGCCATGCCTTAGTCTGCCATCGTCGTCCTCGTAGTACATACTTGTGGGGCCACGAGACGAACGGATACTGGTGCGGGCTCGCGTGCGCGAGGTCCTGAATCGACACGACCTTCTTAAAGCCATAGTGATGCGCAACGTCCAAGACATCGTAGGCGCCCATGACGAGCACCTTCTTGTCTATATACATCCATGTCAGCACGTCGAGTGCCATCCGAAAAAGAACCGACCGCCAAACTGGTGCACGAGCTCCCGCATCGGTGTGTGCGCGAGGATCATCTGGCGCGGATCGATCGGCACATTCAGGATCGTGCTTAGGTTCGACGTCTTCTTTTCCTCGACGCAGCCGCCGCCGTTGGTGAGGAAGATGTGCGGGACGCCCTGCGACTGCAGCTGAAAGAGGCGCTTGCTCGCGTTCGGAAGCGCCTTCCCGCCGCTACCGCCCATTGCGCATGAGGACTATAACCCATTTAGCCCAAAAGACATACCGGATCAAGACGCCATCAATGTCAAACGCAATGCCGAACCGACGCATCTCCTTGGCCAGACGCGTCGCCATGATTTTGCACTTTCTACCGGTATCCGTACTGTCGCTGCGTATCCGGATGTACACTATTTTGACCCAATAGACAACACTATAACAATACCATGTTTGAAACCTGCGTAGTGTGACTAATTTCACTCTATTCCATGTGCTATGTATAGTGTAAAAAAGGGACGGTCGTCGCAATGGACGCCTTGTGGATTGCTGCTCCGGTGATACCACAAGGCAACAGCATTGAGGCCATGGCTAGCGTTAGCTGCAACATCATATTGTACAGTAGCTTGAAGCCCTGCGCCAGAGAACCTAATTGACCATCATTCTTTCTTACACTATTTAGCCTTCTTGTAAGATCGCGACCGTTCACCGCAGTCGCCGAAAAGCTCATAGCATGGTAGACAGCGCCGCCAATGCTACGGGGCTAAGAACGTATCTCTCTCTAGACAACGTGCAGTCAAGCCATCAAGGCGTGGGAGGCCAAAGAGAATGCGTCGTCCGAGGAGGCGCCGGTCGTCAAGCTCTACTGCCAGATCCCGCCCATCGCCAAGCTCGACAACTCGCTCAACACGCTCAAAAACTGCGAGTACAAACTCGATTTCTTCCAACCAACCACGAACATTGGCACGTAGGCATCTCTCGCTCTCGACCAACTCGATCGATCGGTTGATTCCGCTCTCGGGCATGAAGAAGCTGCGCATTCTCTCCCTCGGGCGCAACCAAATCAAGAAGATTGAGAAGCTCGACGACGTCTCGGATACGCTCGAAGAGCTTTGGATCTCGTACAACGTCATTACGACCCTGGACGGTCTCTCGGGCTTGACCAACCTCACGACGCTTTACATCTCCAACAACCTCCTCAAGAGCTGGGACGAACTCGACAAGCTCGTATTCCCTCTTGTTGACTCTACACTTGATACATTGATACAGTCTAGTCCAATCTGCCCAAGCTGCGCGACGTGCTCTTCGCAGGCAACCCGATTTACGAAGGCTTGTCGAAAGAAGAAGCGCGGCTCAATGTGCTCAAGCGCCTCCGCAATGTCATGAAGATTGACGGCGACATGGTCAAGCAGACCGAACGCGACGCCGTGAGCAGCCAATAAGACGACACACGCTTCTTCTTGAATACCCGTGTCCACAAACATGTTATTTGATACCACACCATACGACTGTCTTGTCTTCGTCTGGCAACCCAAGGTGCCGTTTAGGCTTTGCCTTGCAGAAACTTGAGAATGTAGCCAAAGTCCTTCTTGCCGTTGCCCTGGTTGACAATCATGTTGTAAAACTGGTGCACGCTCGACGTGAGCGGAATCGACGCCTCGACGCTCTTGGCCGCGTCAATCGCGAGGCCGAGGTCCTTGCGCATGAGCACGGATGCGAACCCGCCGTTGTAGTCGTTGCTCGACGGCACGCCCTCCATGACACCCGGGTACGGGTTGTTGGCGGTCGTCGACCAGCACTGCGACGTCGACGTGTTCATGATGCTACACGCAGCAGAATATGGTTTCTTTTGGGACGCCACGAGGGTACTACCTCGAGAGGACCTTGGGGTCGAGGCCGAGCTTCTCACCGAGCGTAAGGGCCTCGGCCACCGACGTCATCTGGATCGCCAGCGCCAGGTTGTTGCAGATCTTGGCGGCCTGGCCCGTCGCTAGTCGACATCCTCAGCGTACGATATTGAAGAAATGCAACGTACAGGGGCCACCGCAGTGCACGATGTTCTTGCCCATTTGCTTGAGGACCGTCTGCGCCTTGTCAAACGCGGGTTTCGACCCGCCGACCATGAAGGTCAAGGTGGCGTTCTTGGCGCCGTTGACGCCGCCCGAGACCGGCGCGTCGATGATGAGCGCGCCCGTCTCCGAGATGGTCGCCGACAGCGTCTTGGTGAACGTTGGGTCGATCGTGCTCGAGTCAATCAGAAGGTGATCTTTCGTGAGCTCGTGGATGAGGCCATGCGGGCCAAGGTAGACGTCCGACACGTGCGGCGTCGACGGCAGCATGGTCACGATCGTGTGGCACTGCTTGGCGACATCGCGCGGCGTCGCGGCCGCCTCGACCTTGCCGTGCGCCTTGGCCGCCTGCACGTTGGCGTCGACGACGTCAAAGACCACGAGGTGGTTGCCGGCGGCGGCGAGGTTGCGGGCCATGTGGCCGCCCATCTGGCCAAGGCCAATGACGCCAATCTTGCCGGCAGCCGCGCTATAGCCGCGGGCCAGCATCGTCGTCGTGCGGTAGGTCGTCGTCGGGCGGAGCATCGTCGAGGAGGTGGCAAATCCGCAAGTGGCGACCGGCCAGCGCCAGCGCACGTGTCGCAGGCGCCAACTTCAAGGAGGACCTCTCAGAGTCGATGGTTTTGGCCACAAAAATAAAAATAAAATAAAAATAAACACTGCCGAACGAGGATGAACGATGTGCCCGCAGCCGGCCTCAGCGTGCAGCGCAGGCCACGGGTCGCTGCCTCTAGCCAGCCTCGCGACGCACCGTGCAGCATGCTATGTACATACTAGCAGCAGCTATCGCCATTGCGTGCCACGTGGGCCATGCTCGTGCGTCCGTGGGTGCTGCGCACGCCATACGGTATGCCACGCCCGCGCACGTCCCTAGCTCCTGTCTCTCTGGTCGCTGGCACGCGCCTCATCACGAGCCTCGATACGGCTGCAGCAAATGGCTCTTCTACCTTGCACTACGCCATGCGGAGCGGGTGGCGGACCCATATCCAGTACTTGGCGGTGGACGAGCAGGCCAAGGTGACGATACAAAGGTTGCTTCTTGGCGGTGATTGCTATATATCCTACAACGCTACACTAGACTAGACTCGAAAGTGCATGACGAGCACATCGCCGGTCGAGAAGCACGCCGAGAGCATGCTGCCGTCGTGGTTCCAGTTGACCTCAAAGATGTCGCCGACGCCCTTGTACGACTTGACGAGCGATCCGTCCTAGTCGTATGCCATCCATACCATGGTTGTCGCCATCCTCTCTTGACGTACCTGCAACGACCACACTTGAACGACGCCGCTGATCGAACCGCTGGCCAAGAATTCGCCGTTGGGACTAAACGCGATCGCGTACACGGCGTTCCTACGTCCACTGTCAGCAACCCATGTCGACTTTGATCCTGCACGTACTCGTGGGCGTGGGTCGTGAGGCACTTGCCGGCCTCCACGTCCCATAGCTTGACGGTGGTATCAAACGACGTGCTTGCAAGGACGTGAGGTCGGCTCATGGGTCCCCATCGGATCGTATACACCTCCTTTGTGTGTTCCTTGAGGTCCAGCACACACGCCGTCTCCGTCTACGCAGTCATGCATCGACACTTTGATCGCCAGAATGACAACAGTACCGGACGCCAGAGCTTGACCGAGCAGTCGTCCGAGCACGACGCGAGAAGCGACCCGGACGGGTCCCACTTGATCGAGTTGATCTCGTCCGTGTGGCCACACAACACGAGCGACGGCGCAGGCTCGCCCACGCTCGTCAGTCGAATCGTCGTGTCCGACGAGCAGGTCGCAAACGTCTTGTCGTCCTTCCACGCCGCATCCAGAATGGCCGCTTCTACAAGGCCATCGCATCGTCGTCTCGAGAGCGAGAGCACGTACCGTCGTGGAGCCGGACTTGGCTCACCTTTTGCGACGCTGCGACGTCCCAGAGCGCCACTGTGCTGTCGTAGGACGCGCTCAGGAGCAGCGAATTCGACGGGTTCCAGCGCACCGCAAAGACGGGCCCGAGATGATGCTGTGCTTCGTACTGCAGTTCGCCTACACACGATAGGGATAGGGATAAGGATGAATGGGGACAGGAAGCGGGCTGTACCGGATGGCGACCAAAGCCGCGTGTGGCCGTCGTACGAGCCCGACGCGATGCAACTGCCGTCGCGCTATCGGTGGGCGTGAGAAAGACGATGGAGGCGGATGGGAAGCGTACGTTCCACTCGAGCGTCGTCACGTCCTTGTACGCGCCGTCGCCGTGTGGCAGCACGATGCTTGGCACTGGCGTCGACGCGGTAAAGTCCGAGGCGCCGACCGACCATATCCGCGCCGTTGAGTCGGACGAGCCGGTGACTAATGTGTTGTGCATGGGTTGCCAGAGGCAGCTAAACGCCTACGAGCACAATGAGCTCATGGCAACGCTTCGCGTCCAATGCATCGTACGTCCTTTTCGTGGCCCTTGAGGACGAGCGTGTCGGGCGACGCCTCGATGGGCGGCGGCGGATTGGCTACATAGCCTCCATGAGTGGTGTCCGTGGACAGAGAGCGGCCGCACCTGCGTCGGCGGCATTGGCCGCGGTGGTCGGGTCGGTCACCGAGTCGGGCGAGTTGACGCCGCCAATGTCGTCGGCCTTGCGCTTGCGCTTGCCAGGCTTGTTGCTGCTCGTTCGTGAGACCGACTGCGCGATGCGGCAGATGTGTGGGTTGAGCAGCGAGAGCTCGGCGTCGCACTCGCGCTCTGTGCCATCCTGCATCGGCGTCGTGAGCGGCGATGGATGGCGAACATGCTGCTACCTCGTTCACGTGCGCCTCAATGCCAACGTAGAGAAGGCCCTTCTGGAGGAACGAGATGAGCGCGCCCGGCGGGATCTCGGTCGAGACCACGGAGCTCCGCGCGAGCTGGCTTTCGTACGCAAAGGTGAAGGCTGCATGCACGAAGCCTACGGAGACGCATGAGGCCACAGCCCATGCGACGGCGACGTACCCGACTCCTGGAGGTACCGGTACACGAGGAAGTTGACTTCGTCCGAGGTGATGGTCATGGCGGCCGCGGTCCTTGCCACTCCTCCAGTCCCGCTCGAGTGATTATATGGGGTGGCGATGCGTAATTTATTGCTGCTCGGAATTCTGTTTTTATAATGCACGCCTCTTTTAACCTTTGGTTTATTAATATTCAATCGAATCATCCTACCCATACGAATACCACATATATGGTCGTTGATATAGCGTGATACATATTTAATGTCCTAGTTCAATAAATATTTGGCTTTGTATTACACCTGCTACTCAAGTCCCTGTATAAATTAATAGTTATTCATTTCGAAAGATAGTTCGACAACGGCAGTGGGACAGCTGCGCCAGCGATGGCCTCCGAGGTCGTGCGGCCCGTCGCCGCCGAGGGCCGCATCGCGCCGCATGCTAGCCACGTCTCGAACCTAGTCGCGATACGGCGCCCACAACGCGCTTGTCCAGAGCCATCAGTTCTGTGTCCAATGGCACGATACCGGCCACCACCTGCCTCTCGTTAAACAACGCAGACAACGTCGGCGTCGAGTCCGTGCATCTTATAACATTAAGTGTGGTCGTGGGCCTTCGCGCTGTGTGGGCTGGTGCGCCTCGACCGTCCCGTCATCGTCGTCGTCGGCGTCGACATGGCTGTCGTGGGGCGAGGTCAAGTTGGTGAGCACAAGTTGCGCGTACTCGTAAAAGAGTGTGTTGCCCATCGCCTTCTTGCAGATGACCTGAAAGTGGCCCTCGAGCGTCTTGCGTCGGTCGGCTTGCTCGCTGTCCTCGTCGTCGCTACTCTCATCGTCAATCCTGCGCTTGCGCTTGCTGCGACGACTCGCTCGCTCCGCAACGGCGCGACGATCCCAATCTTGGGCTTGGCCGTCGTCGTCGTCGTCGTCGTCTTTGGTACCACGGCAAGCGTCGCGTCGATCGCGCCGCCTCTGGTCGCGTGGCTGTGCGCGAGGCGCGACGACGTCGTTATCACCGTGTACATCGACGACGTTGCGTGGTACGCATAGTAGATGCGGAACGGGCAGTCGTGCTGCGCGTTGCAGTAATAAAAGCCGCGGTGCACGCGCCGGTCGTTCCACGGCTCGCCCGGGAACCTCGCGGCAAAGGCGGCTTGCGTAAAGCACCGCCCGTCGTTGGCTAGCGACGTCTCAAACGCGGTTTGGACCCATGCCACAAAGTGCTGGAGCTCCGAGAACGTGGGCCATTGCGTCGGCCATGGCGCTGGCCAGAGGCGGGCGCCCACGCCTGCAGCATAGAGCGCGTCGTGATCGAGTGGCGCGAGGAGTGACGCCGGCGCTGGCGCCGACACAATGTCGTGGCTGTGCCGCAAGCGCGTCATCGATGGGAGCACCATGTACAGCGCGAGGTAGTAGTTGAACGCAAACCCGATGCGGTAGTCGCACCCCTCGTGCGAGCAAAGCAGCGCCCCGCGCTCGGGCGTTCCAGCGCGAAAGATCGTGTCGGGAAACGCACGGGCGAACGCGTGCTCGGTAAACGGCCGGGCCTCGCACGTGACCACCGTGTTGCACCATGCGTGCAGGTAGGCCACCGTGACCGAGAGGTCGTCAAAAGTGCGCCAGCAGGACGTCCACCGGGCCGGCCACGCGCCGTCCTGCGACACGCCATGGGGCACGCGATCCAGCGTCGCGCGATTAGCCTGTCGCTCGTCCGGGCGGTCCATCGCGTCAGTATTGTTGTTGCTGTCGGGGAATGCGGCGAGGCCATGGGGCTTGCGGCCAGCCTCGAGCTTGTCGTTCTCGATCCCATCGCTGCGCTGGGAGTGAGGTGCCAGCACACTTTGCGTCGCGTCCGTGTCGTCGTGGTTCACCTCGGTCGCCTCGCGCTCGTCCATCGTCCGCACCACAATCGCCACTCGTTCGGGACGTAGCTGTTTAAACCGCCGGGTCCGATTATCGGACTCACTTAAAGAACCGGATGCTTTTTCTTTTAACCGCGATCGCTTCCTCTTCGCCATCTCGCGACGTCCCTCACACCGAGGTCCACGGAACGAGGCACGACGCGCACTTGCGCCCATGCCAAACGTACTAGCGGACCTTGCATGCTGCATCTCGTGCTCCTCTCCGGCAGCTTCCTTAGTTTGATCTTGGGATCATTTCAGACCTCGTTGAAGTCGCGGCCGAAGATCGCCATAGGCACGCATCGGATTGGTCAAAATGGTGAGCCTTTCGGCCGCCGATTGGGCCGATCGCCACAAAACGGCCGCGCCCTTTCCATCCCGGCCGACATGGCACTTGGACCTCGGCGGCGCGCCGACCCCACGGGCCGCGACGTCGACAAGCAGCCACCGCTTCGAGGCTGCGCGTCCCGGATTATGCTGCTGGATCGCATCCCATCATCATGGAAAATGAGCCAATCACGCGTCGCTGCATTTCCAGCACTCCAAATTGGACTCGAATTCGAACGATGCAAGGCTCGTTGACCGCGTCGTACTACGAGGTGCTGCAGCTCGACCGCAAGGCCACGTACGTCTACCTAGTACTCGATGGCCATGCGCATGGGCGTCTAGACAAGCGGACGTGACCAAGGCGTACCGAACGCTCGCGCTCAAGTACCACCCGGACAAGCAAAAGACGCCGGAAGAGGCCGAGACCGCGACCAAGGCCTTCCAAGAGATCGTCAAAGGTACAGTGGCCTTCGTTTTGGATAGTGACTCATGTCGTTGCGTAGCGTACAAGGTGCTCTCGGACGCGGAGACGCGCGAAGGCTACGATATCCATGGCCCGAAGCTCAAGGTAGTTCCAACTGCTGGGAGGCTGGCACGGTAGTCGTATGTCGTAGCCAACGTATGACTTGGCCATCCACTCGGCGCTCGGGAAGCTCATGCCACTCTTCATCTCGACGGCGATCGGCCTCCTGGGTGGCGCTGCGCTCGCGCAAGCCGTCGATGTTGGCCTTGTCATGATCTTTGAACTCTTCTTCACGCTAGCCGCGGGCGCGGGCACGGTTCTCTCGACCGAACACTCGTCCAATCCCATGAGCATCTCGGACTTTGGCGTGCTTGGCGGCATGGGGCTTGGCGCGGGCAACTTGCTCGGGTACCTCGGGACGCTATGGACACTCTTTGTAGCCCGAGCGCTCGGCCTCTGGTGAAGCGTCGGCTTTGATAGCCACGTCATGCAATACTTCGTAGCACCATTCTTCATTCATGTATTCCATATCGTTTCCATTTGCGGAGGCTCGACGGTGCTTAGCCGAGCTTGGCCTGGAGCGCGAGCGCGTCTTGATGCACTTGCGCATCTTCCTCGGACGTCGACGGGATCGCAAGCGCCTTGACCACCCACGCCTTGGCCTCGTCGGCATGGCCCATCTTGTGCTGGACGAGTGCAATCATGTACGTGTTCTTCTTCCAAAAGCCGGGCGAAATCGTATCGGCATCGAGGAAATGCGCAAGGGCCTCGGCATACGTGGCTTGGGGCGGCGTCCCAAACAGGGCGGCCGCGACCTTGCGCTCGATCCACGAAATGTCGGCGATCGTGAGGCTCCAGCGCCCGAGGAGGTGGTGCGACGTCGCGTCGCGCGGGTTGAGCGCAATGGCCTTTTCCCAGTGGGCCTTGACGATGAACGAGTTGCTCAGCGAGACCTTGGTGCCTTCGTAGTCGCCAATCGACGAGAGAATGATGCCCGACCTACACGCATGTTGTCGCTACCGACGCCATGGACGCCACGCACTACCATTTCTGCACGGCAAAGTCGTCGTCGGCCAGCGCCAGCGCCTTCTGGATCGTCTCGTGCGCCAAGTACGTGAGCTCCTTCTTCTCGGCCGCGGCCGTCGAGCCAAGGCCCGCCACGTCGTACGCCGCCCGCGCGAGCCGCCACAGCACACCGGCGTCCCGCGGATCCTCTAGGATACAATGCATGAGCAACAACATCTCGGCGGCGGCCTCGCGACGGACCGTGGGCTTGCGCTTGGAGGTGCGAGAGCAAATCCCGGCGGTCGTACGTCGGCGTGTTGTACAGCTCTTCCGCGCGCTTGGCCCGCGACGATTCGATCGGCGCGCTCATGGCCGTCGACGCCGCGGTCGCGACAAACGCCAAAGCAGCCAGCGGCAGGAGGCGCGCGGCGGGTGCCGAAGATCGCAATGCCAGGTTGGACGCGGTGCGGAAGGCAGGCGTCACCGCGCGCGCGACACGGGCTACACAGAGGTCGAGGGCCGTTAGCATGAGCCCTGCTCCATGGGCGTAGGCAGCGTCGTACCCAGACGGTGCATGCTGGACGTGGCAAGACGCAAGATGCTCGACCGCGTGCGGCCACAAGGTGTGTTGATGCAACACGCCAGGTTACATTCGGCATCCCTACTTCAACGTGGCATGTGCCGCAAACTATATTTTTAAATCTGGCACGCGTCGCCGGTCGAGCTGGCCACATGGCTGCGACAGCGCCGAATTTGAAAGAGCGTCATTGACTCTGCTGCCCAGCCATCCACGCACAGAGACATCAGCAGAGGTATCAATGATATTTTGTGCATAAGCATGATCCTCGCTGCCTCCTGTCATCGTCCTCGCCACGCGCCATGGAGTACCCACTGGGCCAGGTACGACCAAGCCCGTTGTCGCCTCATCAGTCGATGGCAGGAGGATGTTGATCAAAAAGTTTGGCCTGCGATACGTGCATGTCCGTCCTCTATCTGCAGCTCAACACTGCCAACGCGTTGTTCGTCCATGGCCTCTGATCCAAGACAGGCGAGCAACGGTTGTTCGTTTGTTCGTGCACGTCGCGGCTGCACATGCATCAGCCGACGCCGCCTCGCATTTGCCCATGCACGCCTGCAGCTTCGGACGTTGCGGCGTCGGCGCAGCAGAAAGAGGCGGGGAGCATGCCAGCTGGTGCATTGGATCGGGCTCGCAGCGGCTGTTGAAGCTGGCAAATATATGATCATCTCTCGACCATGCATATGACGTCGCATGCAGTAGCACTCGACCTGGCAGGTGCCCTCGGGGGTACCCAAGGTGGGAAGGTGCGCTGGCAGCGTGGCTGTCCAAGCCGGACGCTCGCAAAGGTTCGAAACCCTAATATTCGCATTTCGACCAATCACAGGTTGCTCGAATTTTGTCATGCGCCAATCAAATCCGTTTCTGGTTGCATTTTATCCAATCCAAAAATAGTCACAATTCACGCTTAATGATATTCAGTGGGCCGCGACATTTTAAAGCCACCGGATCAAAACCATCTCGCGATTTGTATCGGATTGCATGACATCCGAATTAAAACACATGGCCGACATGAAAAAAAGCGGCGTCGCAGAATATCCTCATTTCCGAAAACGAAGACGAGTCGTTGCATCTCCGCTTCCAGGTCCATCGACATGGCCCACGAGCGCGCAGAGAGCAACTACTTCATCCTCTCGGGCAACTCGCAGCGGTCGCTGGGTGGCGGCGGCCAGTACCTGCGCCAAGAGAGCTCCTTCCGCGACCGGCTAGAGCTCCTCGATGTGCTCGGCGACAACCCGAACGACCCGCTCGGTAGCCAGCGCGGTGTCAACGAGAGCGGGTCCGAGCCCTTTGGCGTCTTTGACGATGAGTTCTCGATTGACTTTTGCTGCGATATCCTCAAGGCCAAGTTTGGCTTCCAAGACGGCTCGGTCGACAACCAGCGCGAGCATGCGCTGCTGCTGCTCGCCAACTGCAAGGCGCAGCACCGGTCGCACGACAGCGCCAACCACATTGCGATTCTGCACAAGAAGCTTGTCGGCAACTACGTCGAGTGGTGCGCGTTTCTGCAGATCGACCCGATCTGGTACGCCGGCCCGGTCAACGACCGCTTCAAGAACCGCATGCACATGGAGCTCATGCTGTACCTCTGCATCTGGGGCGAGGCGGGCAATCTGCGGCACATGCCCGAGTGCATTTGCTACCTCTACCACCAGATGATGACGATGCTCAACGGCGACCTCAACTTTTCGTTTTTGCAGCCGCCATTGTGGTACCTCGAGTCGGTCGTGCGCCCGATCTGGACGCAGTGCGCAGGCATGCAGAAGAAGGACGCGCTCGGCAAGCACCTCGAGCACACCAAGGTGCGCAACTACGACGACCTCAACGAGTTTTTCTGGAAGCCGTCGTGTCTCGCCGTGCCGATCGACCAGGCCGGCCACGCGCTCTCGACCCACGGCAAGACGTACTATGAGCACCGGTCGATCTTTACGCTCGTCCTCAACTACTACCGCATCTTCCACTTCAACTTTATGTTCCTCTTTGCGCTCGCCGTGCTCCAGTACTGCGTCACGATCTCGCCCAAGGGCGCGGCCTCTGGCTTTTCGCAGTTTAGCGCACTCGGGCAAGTGGTGTCGCCGTACTCGACGCGCGATCTCAAGCTGGCCCTCGTCTTCCTCGTGCTCGCACACGCTCTCTTGTCGGCGCTCAAGTGCCTCCTCGAGGCCGGCCACGGCTGGCATTTGCTCTTTGCGGCCACGCCGAGCTCGTCCAAGTCGGTCACGTACGGCGTCGCGCTCTCGCTCCGCTTGCTCTGGAACGGCGCGTTTGCTGGCGTCTTTGTACGCATGATGGTCGAAGGCGAGGCAAGCCCGACGCAGCTGCTCGATTGGTTGCTCCCGCTTGCGCTTGGTTTCCTCGGGCCATCCCTGCTGCTCATGGTGGCGACGATGCTCCTGCCAACGCCGGTGCTGACGCAGTCGTTCTGGGCCAAGTTTATCCGCGAGGGCGACTCGTGCTACACGGGCCGTAACATGACGCCGCCGTGGTCGTACCGGTCCGTGTACATTGCGTACTGGCTCGTGCTCTGGACGTTGAAGGCCGCGGTGTCGTACTGGATCCTCATCACGCCGCTCATGCTGCCGTCGCTCGCGATCTACGACATGAAGCTGACGTACACGACGTCGGTGGTCTCGATGCGCAACTTTGGCGTCATCGCCGCGCTCTGGGCGCCGGTGTTTTTCGTGTTTTGCTACGACACGCAGATCTACTTTACGATCTTCCAAGCCTTGTACGGCGCGTACAAGGGCGTGCGCATGCACACGGGCGAGTACCACGGCTTTGCCGAGATCTCGAAGGCCTTCCGCTTGTTGCCGCAGCTGTTTGATGCCAAAGTCGTCACCAAAGAGGCGGTCGTGCTCGACAATGCGCCGACCGCCGACGGCCACCGCAAGTCGATGCTCATGGCGCGCTTCGTCGTGGTCTGGAATGAAGTCATTAACTTTTCCGCGAAGGCGACTTGCTCGACGACAAGGAGGCCGCGATCTTCCAGTATGACGTGGCACCGCTCTCGGGCGAGATTTACGAGCCGGTCTTTCTCTCGGCCGGGAAGCTTGAGGAAGCGATCGACACGGTGCTCAAGCTCCACGCCAAGAAGAACGCCAAGGCGACCGACGCCGACGGCGAGCTCCAGGTCGAGCTCCTTCTGCACGACTGCCTTCCGTCGATCAAGTCGGCCTTTAGCGCGATCTACTTTGTGCTCGACATTCTCCTCGACGAGTCGGACGTGCGCATCTTTGAAGGCCTCGCCGAGATGGAGCGCATTGCGGCCGACGGGCGCTTCATGGCTACCTTCCACGTGCAGCACCTCTTGCACGTCCGCTCGGCGCTGATTGCGTTTCTCGAGGCCGTCCTCGACTTGCCGCCGCCGTCCGAGCCGAATGCGGCGTCGCACACGTCGAAGGGCCACCCGATGCCGCTCATTCAAGAGTTTGCGCACCGCTTTGAGACGCTGCTGCAAGCGTGCGAGATGCTCTGCCGCGGCGTGCCCGACCTCGCGGCCAAGTTTACGCACAGCAACTTTACCGCGGCGCGCAACGGTCACGTGCTCGCGGCCGAAGGCATGGTCCGGCTGTGCAACGACGACGTTGCGCTCTCGAACGCGACGCGCGCACTGCTGCTACTGACGCTGGACCCGGCGAACGCGATGCCGCGCTGCTCGGAAGCCAAGCGCCGGCTCGGGTTCTTCATGAAGTCGCTTTTGATGGACATTCCGCAGCTCGCGTCGGTGCGCGAGATGAAGTCGTTTTCGGTCATGACGCCGTTTTACGCCGAGGGCGTGCTCTACTCGATCAAGGAGCTCCAAGACCCGTTGGAGAACCACGCGATCTTTGCCGCCGCCGAAGAAGCGGGCAAGAACCTCACGATCCTCAAGTACCTCATCACGATCCACACGGCCGAGTGGGAGAACTTTATCGAGCGCATCAACGTGACGTCGGAAGACGAGGCGATCGAGAAGCACCCGCTCGAGCTCCGTCTCTGGGCGTCGTACCGCGGCCAGACGCTCGCGCGGACCGTGCAGGGCATGATGCTCTACGAAGACGCGATCAAGATGCTCTACTGGCTCGAGATTGGGTCGTCGCCGCACAAGACGGGCGAGATGAAGCAGCGCATGCTCGAAGACATGGTCATCCTCAAGTTTTCGTACGTGTGCGCGTGCCAAGTCTATGGCAAGCACAAGGCCGAGAAGAAGGCGCAGGCCGCCGACATTGATTTCCTCCTCCAGACGTACCCGAACCTGCGTGTGGCCTATGTCGACACGGTCAAGAAGGAGTCGACGACGTCGTTTTACTCGGTGTTGATCAAGGCCGAGCACGATCGCATCGTCGAGGTGTACCGCTACGAGCTCCCCGGCGACCCGATCCTCGGCGAAGGCAAACCCGAGAACCAGAACAACGCGCTGCCGTTCACACGCGGCGAGTTTCTCCAGACGATCGACATGAACCAACAGCACTACTTTGAAGAGTGCCTCAAGATGCCCAACTTGCTCGTGACGGCCGACTTGCATCCGTCGGGCAAGCCGGTCAGCATCATTGGCATGCGCGAACACATCTTTACGGGCAATGCGTCGTCGCTCTCCAAGTTCAAGTCGTGGCAGGAGCTCGTGTTTGTGACGCTGAGCCAGCGCGTGCTCGCCGACCCGCTCTACGTTCGCATGCACTATGGCCACCCCGATATCTTCGACAAGGTCATGTGCCTCACGCGCGGCGGTGTCTCCAAGTCGTCGAAGGGCATCAACTTGTCGGAAGACGTCTTTGCCGGCTTCAACGCGACCTTGCGCGGCGGTGTCGTGACCCACGTCGAGTTTATGCAGTGCGGCAAGGGCCGTGACGTGGCGCTCTCGCAGATCTCGATGTTTGAAGGCAAGCTCGCCAACGGCGCCGGCGAGACGTGTCTGGCGCGCGAGGCCCACCGCATGGGCGCGTTCCTCGACTTCTGTCGGCTCAACTCGATGTACTACTCGCACACGGGCTTTTATTTTGCGACGTGGCTCACGATCGTGACGGCGTTTGTCTTTATCTACTGCAAGGTGTACCTCGCGCTCACGGGCGTCCAAGCCCAGATCGTGCTGAGCATGAACTCGACGGCCATCATCATGCGCAACTCGGACAAGGGCTTTGACACGCGCGCGTTCAACAATTTGGACAACATCATCAACACGCAGTACTACATCCAAGCCGGCCTCTTCCTCACGCTGCCGCTCATGGCCGTGTACTTTACCGAGGCCGGTTTGCGCCGCGGCTTTCTGCGCTTCTTCAACATGATGGTGACGGCGGGCTGGGCCTTCTTCACCTTCCAAGTCGGCACGACGATGCACTACTTTGACACGAACATTGTGCACGGCGGCGCCAAGTACCAAGCGACCGGGCGCGGCTTCAAGATCACGCGCGAGACGTTTGTGCTGCTCTACAAGGCGTACTCGGCGTCGCACTACCGCAAGGCCATGGAGCTCATTGGCCTCTCGATCATCTACGGCGTCTATGGCGTCTTTGACATTTGCCTCAAGACGCCGCAGAGCGCGACCAACACGTTTTCGCAGCAGTTTTGCACGACCGCCCAAGGCTACGGCACGCAGACGTTTGCGATCTGGTTCATTGCCGTCCTCTGGCTCGTCTCGCCGTTCCTATTCAACACGGACGGGTTCGACTATGAGAAGACCAAAGCCGACATTGCCGCGTGGGCCCACTGGATGTTTATGACCGAGGACGAGGTCGACGCCAAGGACAAGGTCAACAACGGCGGCTGGATCGGCTGGTGGAAGGACGACGAGAAGCAGTACATTGGCACGAAGCCCATCTCGCGCGCCACGGTCGTCCTCCGCGAAACGCGTCACTTTGTGCTGCTCTGGTACGTGGTCACGCTCCGGTTTGCACCCGTATACCTCGCGGGCGTCCTCGGCGCCGTCATCGTCACGCTCGGACTCTTCCAGCTCGGCCACACGAGCGGCGGTCTCCGTGCGCGCGGCCAGATCCGCGCCATCGCATACGCGCTTCTCGTGACAATTGCCGTCGTCGTGTACCTCGTGGGGACGCTCGTGTACCCGTGGCGCCTCGGGTGGCCGAGCGCGCTGAGCCTCCTCTTTGGGTACCTTGCGGCGCTCTACGGTGTGAACGAGATGGCGCGCGTGTTTGCTTTCCCGACCATGTCGATCGTCAACGTCGGCGTGTTTGTGCAGCTGGCGTTCTTTTGGGACTTTGTCTTTGGCGCAATCATGCTCGTGCCACTGGTTGTGCTCTCGGTGATTCCGTTTATGAACATCATCCAGACCCGCATGATGTACAACGAAGGCTTTTCCCAAGTGCTCTCGGACTCGTCGCAGTACGCGTTCTCGATTGCCGGCGTCGTCGGCTTTGTCGGCGCGGGTGCGTGCGGCTGGCTCTACTACGTGCTCACGACCTTGGCGTCGTCGGCCGGCTTTTTGAGTTATACCTCGGCGTTCCGCATCGTTTTGGAGAATGGCAACAACGTGACAGCCTACTTTGTCATTGGTGGCGCGGCCGTCGGTGCGGGCGCGGCCGGTCTCCTCGGCTGGTCCCTCGGCCGTCGGCTCACGGTCGTCGCCGGTGGCTTTGTGTCGTTTGTCGCCATGGCCATGCTCACGGCGGTTGCGTCGTTTAGCGGCAGCGCCACGCACCTCCTCCTCGGCGGTCTTGCGCTCTTTGGCGTCGCGATTGGCCTCATGCTCCCGACGATTGCGTGCTACTGCTATGAAATCTCGACCAAGGAGATGCGGGCGCGCATCATGCTCTTGCTCTCGGTCGGCTTTGTGCTCGGCAACCTCGCCGCGAGCTACTTTAGCTACGGCACGTCGATTGGGTGGCTCTGGCAGGCGTTCTGGTGCTTCCTCGTGTTTGCGTGCCTCACGCCGGCCATCAACTTGCTGCCGGAAAGCCCTGAGTGGGTCCTGGCCCGCCACGGCGAAGAGGCGTGCAAGGCGTGCCTCGTGCTCCTCCGTCGGCGCCAAGACGTGGCCGCCGAACTCGACGAGCTCCAGGCCAAGCACGTGCACAAGTACAGCGGCGCCAACGGCGTCTACAAGGCGTTCATGGGCACCATCTTTGTTTGCATCTCGGCGCTCTCGACCTTGCCGCTCTACGTGTACACGGCCCGCGTCTTTACGGGCCTCGGCCGGCCGCTCATGCTAGCCAACTGCCTCGGCACGGAGCTCCTCTTTGCGAGCCTGTCGTTCTTTTACATTGAGAAGCTCACGCACAAGCTGCTGCTGCTTGTGACGTTGACGCTGGTCGGCGTTGGCGCGGCGCTGCTCGGTGCCCACGATCTCTTTCAGATCTTTGGCGTCCGCGACCAGACCGCGCTCCAGGCGCTGCTGATCACGCTCTTTGCCGTCAAGGGCGCGGGCCTCCCGGCGACGCTGTGGGCCGCGGTCGTTGGCCTTTTCCGGGTGCATGGCCGGTTCATTGCGGCGCCAATCTTTTTTGCGCTCTTTTTTGGGCTCCAAGCGGCGGCCACGTACCTCCGAATTGACACGGCGACGACGCGCTCGAGCAGCTCGAAGGAAGCGTTTTGGATGTTTGCGCTCGCGGGCTTGTGCGGCCTGGGTGTCCTCGGGACGGCCGGCCTCGCCCGTCGCGCGAATGGCCTCGTCTGCACGGCGGCCGAGATGGAGTACGAGCGCAAGATGATGGCGATGGCGGCCGAGACGCCGCTGCGGTCGCACAACTCGAGTCGGAACCGCGGCTTTTCGCGCCAAACGAGTAAGCGCATCACGGGCAATCGAACGCTGTCACCGCGCAAGGCCAGTAGCACGCCGTACCTCCAGACGCAGAGCTTTGACGAACATAGCTCCTCGCCCCAGAAGAACGTGGTGTGAGCAGCGGGAAAGACAAGTACTGGGTTGTTTGATTAATTGCATTTTGCATGCTGAAGATAATGTCTTTTGGACGTGGTGGGTTAGGGTTTCTACGCGACTTGATGGGGGAGTACCTTCTTTTCTTCGGCGACGTCGTCAAAAGCTATGAGGATGCTACGGAGACGACGACAATGACGACGTGCAAGCGCTGGTCCGCTGATCTTGGGTGCGAGGCTTGAAATGTTTTGAATTCTGAAGTTGCATATGAACTCCCAAGGGACGATTGGCGTCGATGGAGAGCAGCTTATCTATCGTACTAGCGATATCGATCAACCGCAAGCGGGTGCTTGTGAAATACGCATTATTAAATAGGAATAAAATATTGAGCAGCGCAGGCGCGTTCCGCGGGCTGGTCACGAACGGTGCTCATGCTGGCGTGCGCGAATCACGTTTGACGCGCTGTCGTCGCGGGCTTCTACACATGCCCATGAACCAATTTGGCGCTGTTCCTCGCTTGCCCTACCCCTTGCCCAAGACGCTTCTTGTGCCCGTCGCGCCCCTAGTCGTTTCAGAGACGAATGAGAGACTTGGTCGAGCGAGTGCACAAAATAAAGACGTGCACCTTGGGATTGTCGCGACGCTTGCGCTTGGCGTCCGAAGGCATTTCGGCCTTGGATGCTTCCTCGTTCGGGGCCGCCTTTTCTTCGTCGTCCGGGTTCGCCTTGCCTTCTTCGTCACGCTGCTCGAGCGACGCACGGAGCGTCGCGTGCTGGTGGTAGACGCGGGCCTTGAGCGCGTCGTCGGCCTCGGTCTCGGCCCACAATGTCGCAAAGGGCTTGGCGCCGGCGTCCAGAAACGCGCACTTGTCCTTGGCGTGCGCAAACAGCATGCGCCACGTCGCGTGGCCTTGCAGCGCGGACGCATTGCCTGCATTAATCAAAATCAATCTTTCCTGCGATGAGCTTGCAAGCTTGTGTCAACGTACTAGTACCGGTACATCGATTTCGTTTGGCAGCATCGACCACTCGTGATGAGCCAACCAGCTTTTCCACGCCTCAAACAAGGCTCCAACAGTGGAGCAGCCCCAGTCGTATACCTCGTGAATCCGATCTCTCTCTCTCGGATATCTAAAACACGATCTGTAGCTCGACATTGGGGCGTACAAAATCGTTGGTGCCACCATCACCACCTCTGCACACATAGTGTGCATTGCTTGTATTTCGCCAATTACAAGAATTTTGTGCCGGCGTAGACGAGACGGGCTCAACCAGATTTATGCAATATAAAACAATAACCTCGCGCGAAGCCGCAAATTTTGCTACACGCAGCTCTATCGTTCAGCCACTCGTGCTGAGCCAACAAGCTTTTCTCGCCTCAAAGCTCACCCAAACCAAGCTCCAACAGTGGAGCAGCCCGAGTCGTACCGTTATACCTCGTGAATCCGAGCACTCTCTCTCGGATATCTAAAACACGATCTGTAGCTCGATGTTGGGGCGTACAAAGTCGTCGGTGCCACCTTTGCACACATAGTGTCATTGCTCTGCATTCCACCGGCCAATGTTGCCCAAAGAGCGTAGACGAGACGGGCTTCACCGGCTGCATTCATTTCGGCAAAATAACCTCCTCGGTAAATGCACGATTTGTAAAAGTACATCGATTTCGTTTGCTAGCATCGACCACTCGTGATGAGCCAACAAGCCTCTCCTCGCCTCCAACAAGGCTCCAACAGTGGAGGAGCCCCAGTCGTATATACCTTGTGAATCCGATCTCTCTCTCTCGGATATCTAAAACACGATCTGGAGCTCGACATTGGGGCGTACAAAATCGTCGGTGCCGCCATCACTACCATCTTGGTAGTAGTCGACTCGCGAGGTATACGACATGCTCTATTCTAGCACGTCGAGCGACGCACGAGCATTTGGTTTACACGACGAGCAATAAGTGCTGATAGTTTGAAAGTGGCGTCCCGCATCGTATGCATGAGGTTACCAAGCTGGTACGATAGGCTTGGCCTGGTTGGAGGCATTTCCGTACATCGCAGAATGGCCTTGCAACGTGCAGTCTGCTCGTAAACACGGTCGCTTTCGAGTGCACTGACGGCGCCCTCTTGCAAGCCCTGTCGCCACCTTGCACCAAATAAATACTCTGGTACAGCTGTCCAGAGAAGCCAGCATTTGATGACCGTGCTCGGGACGCAGGTGACAACGAAGTTGCCTCTCAGTGTCAAGATCGCAACGTCGAGATCGCCGACTCGGTGCTTCACAATTGAACTACTGTACGTACTGCTACTCGTAGCTGGTTACACTAGTCCACAGGACGGCGGACAACTAGATAGCCATGGCGCTGCGAAAAACAACGTCCTCAAGCCTGCCAGAGCTACCGCACTTGCTACTATGGGACCAGCATCACGACCGCTGGCATCTGCGCGTCGGCGTTGCAGTCGCGACAAAGATGGCGCGCTCGCGACATTGGATTGGCTGAAAAATCCATGCTTGGCGCGATGCCATTGGCCCAAATATAAAAGCAGCCAACGTTGTCGGAGGCTGGCAGCGGACCAAGCCCATGAGTGCGCCCAACAACGACTACAACGTGCAGGAGACCGCGTCGGACGCGGCCGCTTGCAAGCTCTCGGCGTCGCGTCTCGGCTACTGGGACGACCCGTTCGCGGCCATGTTTGCCTCGCACCACCGCAAGATGCCGATCATCAACCGCGGCTACTACGCCCGCGTGCGCAGCATCGAGCTGCTCGTCGAGCGCTTCTTGGCCGCGACCGCGAACGAGGGCCAAGTGCTCGTGCTTGGCGCCGGCCAAGACACGCTGTACTATCGCCTCAAGAAGCGCCAGCCGGCGCTGCTCACAGGTGCAACGTACGTCGAGATGGACTTTCCACTCGTGACGCGGGCCAAGGTGCGCCTCTGTCGCCGCCACAAGGCCGTCGCCGAGATCATTGGGCCCGTCGAGACCAATGAGATCGAGCTCAAGGCCGATGGGTATGCGCTCGCGGCCTGCGACCTCCGCGACCTACCGGCGTTCCAGGCGAAATGCACCTGGGCCGGCCTCGACCCCTCGCGACCGACGCTGGTAGGACACGGCAATGCGTGCTTGAGACATAGCGATGGCTAGGTGCTCTCCGAGTGCGTTCTCTGCTACATGGAGCCGCAGCACTCGCAGCCGCTCCTTGACTGGATTGGCTCCACGTTTGTGGACGCGGCCGTCGTCATCTACGAGCAGATCCGGCCCCACGACGCCTTTGGGCAAACCATGGTCGAAAACATTCGTCTGCGCGGCTGCGACCTCAAGTCTGTGCACGCGTACGTCGTTATTATAGACAATATTGTCTTGCGTTCCGATGACATTATGTATCTCTTTTTGGGGTAGGTTTCCCGAGCCGACCGACCAATGCCAGCGCTTGACAGCCAGCGGCTTTACGCACGTCGAGTGCTGGGACATGAACCGCGTCTATTATGACTTTTTGCCGCTGAACGAACGCAAACAGTAGGCGCTTCGATCCTCGCACAGCGCTCATGCCTTCTTTTAGCAAGGAGCATCTCGAGTTGTTTGACGAGCTCGAAGAGTACCACATGCTGCAGGGCCACTACTGCCTCGTCGTCGCCGCCAAGAGCACCGCCGTTGTCGCGGCCTTGACGCTGCACCGCCCCGAAGCAGCCTCCGAGTAGTTTAGTTGATCTCGACGCATTCCAACAATCTTAACGCATTCTAACAAACTCGACTGTTGGGTTTTGCATAGTAAAAGGGTTGTCTTCTCGTCGTCTTCGTCGAGAGCATCTAGGTGCGCATTGTCTTGATTACGCCGATTTGGGGTTGCTCAAGCCTTGGAGGTCGTACGTCAGGTCGAGGCTGTTGGCCGACGGCCGGCGGCGGCGCGGGGCCTCCGAGAGGCTCTCGGACATGCGTCGATGCGGCGCCGACGTCACGACGTTGGAAATAGGCGCCCAGCGCGAGTGCAATTGGGTCAAAAGTGGCTCCGGGTGACAAAAGAGGTGCAGCGACTGGAGCTTTCCGGTGCCGACTTCCTTGGCGAGGCGACCGAACCCCGTGATCGAGATGAGACTGCCGTCGCCGCGCCGGCCTTGGTACGACCCCGTGAACGCGCCCCAGTGGCGCCACGAGAAATAAATATTGGCCGGAGCACTGGTGTAGACTTCGAGGACCTCCATTGGAAAGCCATCGGGAAAGGCCTCGGCGAGCCCACTCGACGACGACGGCACATCCGCATGCGGCGACGTCGCCGGCGAGCTCGGCGTTGGCGGCACATAGACCAGACCAAAGAGCGCGTGGCGCATCTCGGGGAGCTGGTGGTAGCTCACGACCGGGTGTTCGTTGACTTGGAGCCAAAACGACGTCGCCACCGACGTCCACTGCGAGAGCCGCGCCTTGTGCGTCACCTCCATCGAAAACGTGCGGAGGGCCGTCTCGATTTCATACGCAAAGGATGTGACGCCATGTGCACGGGTCCGCCCGCGGAGAAAAGCCACGTCCGTGAGCGCATAATCGGGTGGACCGTGGAGCCAGAAGGTGCGCGAGTCCATAAACGAGTCGAGGCCGCGCTCCGGCTGGTAGTTGCCCGGAAGCGCGCAGAGCGCCGCGAGGTCACTCCGGGCTTGCTGGATCTTGGCCTCCGAGACACCGACGGTGGACCCGTTGGTTGAGACGAACAGCAGCACGTTGCGCGTCGACGATGGCGGCGCCGGTGTACTACTACTAGTCGCAGGCGTCGACAAGAAAGCGCCATTGGAGGAGAGCGCGGCTTGGTTCGTGAGGAAATTCCCGCCATCTATCCATCATTTGTGAGACGACAGAAAGCACAGATGTGGAAGGATCTACCTTGGGTTGCGCCAAACCGCATCGATTGGGCGGACTGCGTCCGGCCGCGCGTGGCCAACGGGACACGGGGCGGCGACTCCGGGTGTTGCGATGCTGCGCGCAGATCGGCGGGCTTGAGAATCTCCGAGTAGCGTCGCGAGAGCGGCGGCGGCTGCATGCGTTGGTGGTACTGACTGGCCGACGACGGTCCGAGGAACGAGCCCGCGTTCGTCTTTTGAATCGGGAACGAGTCCGACTTGGACGACGGCCGCGTCGGTGCGAGAAGCGACGACGTCGTGTCGGAATGCAGTGATGAGTACGTCGACTCGGTCGTGTGGCGTCGCAGCATTTGATGGGCGGAGGCCGAGTGCGTCGTCTCTTCGCCGCTCGAGAGCACGTCCTCGAACGCGTCAATCCAGTGGTTGTACGCCTCGCGCGACTCGGCGAGCAGTGAGAGCTTCTCGACTTTGGACGAGTTCATCTTCTTGAAGACCGAGAGCGTCAGCTTGTAGTAGCCTTGCGAGAGCACGGGGCGCAGAGCGTCGTAGTCGTCGAGCGCGTCGATCTGAAGGATGCGCGTCGGGCCGCAAGGAATCGCAGACCCGTTGAGCCGCTTGGCCGTCATGTGGCGCGGCTGGCCTTCGCGGTTCCAGTTGTGAAAGTCCGAGTAGTTTTCAAACACGTAGAGCTTGGAGCTGTGCTCGTTGAGGCAATAGTACTGCGACGCGAGGCTCCGCAGCAGCTTCTTCGTAAAGAGGTACCCGTGGTGTCGCACGACCTTGCGCGAGGCCGGGGCATCCGTCGCGCACAGCGAGGGCCGCGACGGGCTGCGCCCGGGCGGGCGCTGTAGCGAGTCCCGCATCGTCGTCGTCGTGGGGCGGGGCGGCGACAGCATCATGAGTCGGCGTGTCTTCTTCTGGCAACCCCTTCAGATGGCACCAATCAGCGCTTTTACAGGGCCCACGCGCAACTTTACTGAATGGGTGCGACATTCGAGTTTGCACTTTCTAGTGCGTTGGCGGTTACTTTTCCGGTCCTCTTGCCACAAATCGAATCTCGCGCCCTCGCGAAACGGGATTTTCTCGCCATCGCGGGTGCCACGTCATGGCTGGCAGCGGCGGCGACGCCGCATCGCCCGCTACTCACTACCGCTAACGCAAAGACGACGCAACTTTGTCGTGGACATCCCACGGCGGTACACAAACATGCACGTGTCGCCGGGCGCGATCGGTCCGCGACAAGCCATCGCAGCAGCTTCTTTACTGCACCGCCAGCGCTCTCTCGTCCTGGCTTCGAACGGGAAGCAGCGCGTCGACTGGGACATGCTGTACGAGGCGATGCACGAAAGTGCCTGCCGAGAACCAAGAAGTAGCCAATCGGTAGTAGGTGCATCCATGGTTGTCGAGAGTTGCTGCCTGAGTTTGCCGTCGAGTAAAGTTGAAGGACAAGGCGCGTGTCGCCCAAGCCACTCGTTCCACTCGTCCATTCGAATGATGGAGTAGTACTCTATATGTACTAGACGATGACAAGGGTATGTAATTATATACCCTTGATATATGATAACTGCGACGGCGAGAAGACAGGATCGTGCCGTCGGCCCCGCCTGTCGCGCTGACGTCGGGTTCCATCCAGCGTGTCCCACAGAGGCTCGAGGCGATACTCGACAGCACTTGCGTCGTCGCTCGCCCGTGCGTGCGTGCTGGCTTCTGCTCCAAGCAGCAACGCAGCACCTTGCAGTAGCCAGTTGAGGGAAAAGATCGCTCCGTGGTCCTCGACGACCATGTCTCTGGCTTGTCGAGTTGACCACGTCGACATGCTAACCGTCCTTGTCAGCCAGCACGCGTGTGATCTTCAAAACACACATCCGCACAATCAATACCATCCATCCAACGCAGAAGAACATGTTATGGAGGGCGCGACGTGGCTGGCAGAGGCAGTAGCTGAAGAGCTTAATAGGAGCCGATCGGCGCTGGATTGAGCTCTCTGGCGCGCCGGATAAACGGTATATCCGGATACACGATCCAATCCGGATATCTCGAAAGCGCCGCCGGTGATTGGTCCAGTTTGACAGGCGTATGCTCAGCCATCGTTTCAAGCGCCACTTGAGCCCGCTCCGAACTAGTGTCCGAGCCATGGCGTCCTTCCGCGAGACGCTCTTCACCGACTACTACGTCGTACGCACGCTCGTGACGGCCAGCGACGTGCGACTGACAATGTGTCTCTTTTGTCGTATAGAAGCAGCACGTGTTTCATCCGGACGAGATTGACGCGGTCGTCGACACGCTCAAGACGCCGCTGCCAGCATGCTTTCGCATTAGCCCCAATGCGTCGAATGCGTCCCAGTACGTCTGTTGCTCTATCGCATCGATGCGATCTTAGGATGGCCATAGCATTGAGGCTGCGCTGCGCACCGACTTT